GAATATGACAATTGTTTTTGCGTTGTACCGTTGGTTGATATAGCATTTGGTTTTGTCAAGTTTTATGGACTTCCCCCTTTTTTATTTTACCTTAACGTTCGGTATTTTTGTTATGACTTTAGTTTAGTAACTAAATTATTCATTTGAGAGGCGTTTGTATGAAACAGGAAAGCAATAATGGCAAACACAGTTACTACCATATCAATCCTGCATGAAAATGTTACAAGTATATATATATATATATAAGATAATAACGAAACCAGAGATTCAAATTTTAATTAGATTGCAGTATTATTGAAATATTAAAATTTCCTTAACAGCCTATATATATACTCATCCTCAAAACTAATAGGATTTTTCGAACAATGTTTTTTGTCCTAAGACTGTCCATCGTAGTAAAGATATTTTGCACGAAATTCTTTCCGTTTTGTTTTCCAATGTTTTAGTTAACTTTATGATTTTTATGTACTCTGGCTATCCTCTTATTTTTTATAATTCATTGTAATTGATAAGATCGAACGATTTTTTGTGAAATACGTATAATTGTTTATGACTGACAGCATACTTTTTATGTTGGGGAAACTGTTCTTGAAGTTGACTTCAGTATAACGTATGTCCTATCAGGTAAGATAAACCGAAGGTCCATCTAATTAAGCGTGTATGCAAATTAAAAAAAAATGTGTTTCTTGCATATAGGCTATTTTTTACCTGATTTAATCAAATATGTAATAAAAAATATACCTTCATGTGCTACTTTTTGAGTAAATTGAGGTCGAAATTTCTGATATTTGCTCAAAATTCGGATTTGTGGACGTATTTTTCCTTTCGACAGAAATTCATAACTTTTTTGTTTTAAAAGATAAACACAAGCTGTTTTTTGTTAAATTATTTGTAAATTCTGTTTTATATAAATGTCTTACAAATTTGTGCATTTTATTTTTACAAATAACTCATATTTATCAAATGTTCATGAATGTAGAAAAAACCGTCAATTTTTGCTGTATATTTATCAAATTTAAAGAAATTGCATTATTGATATTTCATGAAAATTGGTACACATAATCTTCATACAATATCAAACCAAATGTCATTTTAAAAAAGAGGGGTCCATGAACTCCTTTTCTAGATAAATCAGTTTGAATGATAACAAACAGTCGAAAACTGCATCTTTTCCCGATAAGTCGCAGTTTGACGTCGTGAAAATAACAATTTACGTTAGCAACGTCATTACCTCCCCTGTTACTGTATCGTATGCCCTTAAGCCCAGTGATCTTAAAGTTATGTTCTAAATTTACATGTTCAAACGAACTTTAAACATATATGTGCACAAAGCTTATTAATTTCTGAAACCTACTACAAACCCAAACTTTATATCATATCATTATTGACATAAAATAAGAAAACACATTTCTAATTTTGTCCGGCACGGTGACCATGCAATTTTATTAAACATACACTAGTTTTAAAATTCAAACATCATTTACTGTCCACAAAAACATCTAATTGTATGCAAATAACGTCCACTAAATTTTTGTTTGTTACAGTACACTGGCCTTACAGAATATCTAAAAGTAAACAAATATCGTAATTGGTATACAATAATTAGTCAACGTGGTCACCACCAAACCTCGATAACTGAAAAAAAACGTGATCCCTTTCTTTATATACTACCCTCGAAATTCAAAGGAAAGGAACGTGAATTTCCTGTAAGGAGTCTTTCCCTGTGCGATATGCATTTGTTTGGCAATGTTCAGAGTTTCTCTTCTCCTTTCTTGTATGGGTATTTAAACAAAAATAAAACCGATGCACACGACGTTCATTAAAACCGATGTTTTAAGAGGGGTTCTTATTGATTTTTTTTCCTATCTTTTAAAACTTATTTTTCTAGGCTTTCTTCCTAAAATACGAGTGAATGTAATTTGTTATCAAATTTTATTTGCTTTTCAAATAGGTTTAAATGTTAACTCTCTATCTCTCTTTTTTTATGATTACATTAGCTATGTGATTTGCGTCCATCCAAAAATCAGTAAATGCACAACAAAAAACACATAAATCAAAGGAACAGCGCTTTTATTGTTGTTCTTAATCTCATAGTCACTTTATTGGCTATAAATTCTGAATCTTTACTAGTTATATGTGTGTTGTATATGATGGAGCCAAGTCCTTGTCCTTTCTTTTTTTGTCAGAGTATAAATTTAGATTCGCGTGATTTAGAAAGTCAATGATTTTTTTATGCATTTATTTTTCATATTTCTCAAATTCTCTGTCGATGTTTTACATGTAGGGCACAGACAGGGAATATGAACCCATTTTCCCTGTAAAGCAGTTCCCTGTTTTCAACATTAATTACAATTCTGAGCTTCGTTTTTGTTCACAGGGTATATGGGCTCTTATCCACTGTCAAGGTAACCAATCAAATGTCAGGATTAGTTGTGATATTTCACTCCAGTATAGTATAAGCACATGCTACAGATTTTACTGCGCATGAACGTAATTTATATTACCCTTTGTTTACAATGTTATTTTTACAAAATACTAACGAGAAAAGCAAATTCATAGACCAGTCAGATCATTTCATTATAAAGGAAATTACATTAAATATCTTGATCCATAATTTTGTAAATCCGAATTTCACTGGTGACCCTATTGATTTTAGATATTCCTGGCTTCCGCATTTAAAAACTTGCGTAAAACTTTAATATTTAGGTAAGATGGTAAACAAAAAATCATTTGTTTTATTGGCATTATGAATTATAACTTTTAAGTAAACGCCGAAGGAAAAAAGGATACAATTTGATTTAATAGTTAGCAAATAAGCCAATGCAGCTTAAACGCTGAAGGAAACATTTTGATGACTTCCGTCTATAACATCACTCAAAAGTATTTACAAAACTGAAATGGAATAAAAAAATCGAAGGAAAACAGAGATACAAGATTTCTTCTTTTGGTATAAACTCTAAACATAAACCCATTAATGACAATAATAAAAACACGCGTTCTGTTTCGCGTTTTAACAACACGGTTTTTTACCTCGCATATATGACTTCGTTTAAACAACTTCCAAGATTTGATACTCTGTGGTTATATGGCTTGGTTAATGAAAAAGAATGATGTTAAATTGCCAAGAAATATTTTGTTGATGTCTAGATCATTGGAAGTTTCCTGCTTCCCATTGTGTCTAGACTCTTCACAATATACATGTAGATCATGACATAAGGTACAGCGATATGTCTTTTGTTGAGAATCGTACTTTTCTATATGTCTTTACGATTTCGGTCTTGTTGACGCAGACTTCGTATCATCTTTAATTTACGATATATATGGTATGACCACTACATGTTATATTCAAATGGAAAAGCTTTTCATGATTTAGAGAACGAACGAACAAGTAAAAAAACTCATCAAAGATACCAGACTTATATTATTGTACCCCAGATACAAAAGACTCATCAGTGACGCTCGATTCAAAAAAGTTAAAAAGTCAAATAAAATACGAAGTTAAAGAGCATTGAGGACCCACAATTTCGAGAGGTTTACCAAATACAGCTAACGGTAATCTATTCCTAGGGTAGAAAATCCAAATATTTCGAACAATTCAAATACAGTAACATATTTTTGCTTTTCGCTTTACCGATGTTAAAATATTCAAGTCTATAGTTACTCTGGTCAGAATTGATATTCGTTTTATCTTTGGGTCCTCATTAAAGGCGTAAACCCCTTCTTTTCTCCTTTAGTATATATGAGGAAGCAATAGACGGTAAATTGCACGTGATGTAAAGAATATCGGGTTAGCCATTATCTCGAGGTTTTCTCACTGATAGTTGTCCTCTTTAAAAAGTAGCCATTTCTTGGCCGTTTTTTATTCAATATATCCATGCTACAATGGCCTACAATCGAAATAAAATGATGAAGATTTCCGCTAACAAATATAGTCTGAGATGATTTCACGAATATGAAGTTCTGAAATGTGAAGGAATTCAACGATTATTGCTGTTTATATTCATTTGAAGAAATGCAGTCTATCAAAAATTCTTTTAGCAGAATGATAAATATGGTTTGTGCTAACGCAGACATATTGTATGGTGGAATATCTAAATTGGAAAAGATTACTTCGCCGTCAAAAACTATGTAACTAATGCCTGTATTGACTTCAAAACGTAACTTTCTGGTAATTTGAATTGATTTGTTTCCTGCAGATTAGAAATAGCTTAGAAATGCGGGCTATTTTTATTTACGACTGCATTCAAAAATGAGACTATGAATGCCAGGATGTAAATTACGGTCAGACTAACATATTTTAAATGAGTCTTAACTTAAATTCCATGTGTGTGTGTGTGTGTGTTTGAGTGTGTGTAATGTGTATGAAGGAAAAAACATATCTTCAATGAAACCCTCTTGTGTTGGTTCATATGAATAAGTCTTTTCAGCATCTAAGGTTTTTTTTATAAAAAAATCGCTGATTTTGAATTAAGTAATGCTTTAGAAAATTTCGCACATGCCTGTGCAAACAAATCACTGATTTTCAATTCAATTGTTCTCTAGAAAATTTCTCATATGCCTTAATTAAAAACAAATCACAGATTTTCAATTCAATTGTTCTCTAGAAAATTTGGCATATGCCATTAAAAACAAATCACTTATTTTGAATGTATAATGCTTAAGAAAGTGTCTCAATACGTTATATATTATTATCTTCTTCCGTAAGAACAATTTACAGTATAATGAATTATTTCTGTATCGTTAATACTCAATTACTGTTTACACTTTTTTGTCAGACAACGGAATATCTAAGAAGATTTGGAGAGCTAATTTGAAAAATTAATGACGTTCACATTTTCCGTCCCTGTATGTGGACGTCTCTAATCAATATTATATTTTGGAAGGAAAAAATGCGCCGAGCTTTAATCAAATTTATAATTAACTCTCTGTGGAAGCCGATTTCTACTTGAACAACTATTATTAGACTATCCATTAAGAAACTGAGTTGTGTCAATGATCAATACACGCTATTTCTTTAGGGGGAAAAGTTGCTCAGTAATTGGTGGAAATGAAATAAAATCAAATTTGTAACCTAAGTATCAGGCGTACAAGAAAATATCAAGTAAAATATCATAGCTGACGACATCCACGCTTTTCCCATTATGCTGTGTTAAATTTGTTCATTGTGCTTATTACAGTTTCACTATCAGAAGACATGAAACAACTATATATCTCGGAGAAATGGTTGCTAAGGGATACAATTTCTGCGGAATAAGATAAATGTGGTGATTTTACAGACATTGATAGGTAAGTTTCACATGACTGACATAACATTTTGATTTTTTTTTCGTATTTGTATAATTGGGTTTTGAATTTCTTCAGTCGATATGTGTTCCGCAAATAGGAGTCATTTATATGATTAGAACGACAATCAAATTTTCCTTTTTACGTATTTTCCGAGACTTTAAATCATTCAGTTTGTTTGTTTGTTTGTTTTGTTGGTTGTTAATTTTTTCATGTTTTAGGGTCAATTTTACACAGTGCGATGACACTAAAGATTTCATTTTATATATAAGTTGATAGCTTCATTATACCAATACGATACCAACCATTTTATTATCTAGTAGTTGATATGGGGAGGCTTGAATATTTTGTTGCTTTGTTTTTTCTTCAAGCAAGCTCGAAAAGCATTATTAATCTTTATAACAGCAATCATTGCCTTATAACATCAATGAAGAAATTGAGTTACGGTGAACACCAAAGGATGCAGAGGGGAATTTCCACAAGAAAGAAGATTTTTTAAGACCACCCCTTACTTAAAATGGATGGCTCTTTATACCGCCTCTCCATTATTTTAAAATTTGTACAGTTTGTTTGTATAGGTTAATTGATGTTCTTGGTGTAGTTGATAAAATTGATTTTTCTTTTAAATCCTCCTCATTTAATTCCTTTGAACGTTTTGAAGAAAATCTATTATATCTATTATATAAGCTAAAAAATTTGAAATGAATCTAAGTTGATTTTCGTCTGTTCTATGATAAATGCTCATTTTTCTTTTGATCTTTAAGTGTAGATATATACTGGATTCCTATCTGAAGGAAAATTTTGCTGTGATACTGAGCCCTTTATTACCTTTATTTTCTTACATTTTTTAATTTTTATTACTTTGTAACAAACATATACGTACTTAAATGTGCATCATGCATATTAATGTAAAAAACAAAAAAACAAGTAGGGTAAAATTAAATGTCGATTTTTATCATTCAAATCAATAATACATTATTCTATTGTGCAGATGGGAAAACGCACGCGCTTGCCACCAAAATGAAGACAGTTGCTAGGCAGTAACCGTATACCCTAATGATTTTCCTTGAAATAGTGTCATCTCATTAGAAACGGATTCCATAAATTCTGAGTAAAAAGCAGTGTACAAATAAGATATGAGTCTTCCAATCAAGTATTTGTTCAGCTTTCAGTCCTATGACCCCTTTATGAATTCGAGAAAGAACACTTAGTCACCGTCTTATCCGACTCTTCGTCTTAAAAGAATAATATATAAATAACACATAGCTGAGAGGGTGATAGAGCAGATTGTTACCTCGAGAAAACATTGTCAACTGAGGCGAAGGTTGAAATTTCATGGGAGTGTTGTCATATCCTTGTAAGCAAAGAGTGGACATAGGATGTGTTTTTCAATCAGATTGCTATCGCTTGAATTCGAAATAAAAGTTTATATGCAACGCTAGGAGTAAAAACTCTATGCATTAACCATATATGTAGCTCCATAAGAGAACCCGGGTCCCCCGCTCCCACTAATCCACATCTTTGAGACAGATTCTTAATCGCCCCGAGTTCGAAAAAGCTGTAAATATATATGAGAATAATAAAGATCTAAAATCAACACAAAATTCCCTGAATAATAAGAATATTAATATATGACAAAAGACAATCAATGACGATGTACTTGATTTGAGACCTGGAAAAGATATGTGGGGAGGTTTTAATTATTATTTTTTTATCTCAACCCTTTCCCTTTTAATGCCATTTATTTGACTTACCAAATGTGTATTACAGAAATATGATAAAAATCAGTAGCGGAAAAGTACTTTTTTATAGTAACGTTATAAAAGATACCCCCTCCCCCCAAAAAAAGCCAAACAAAAAACCAAACAAAATACAAATAAAACAATAGTAAACTACACTGTAATCAAAGATTGCTTGCAGTTACTACATTCTTAACCTTCTGAAGTTGTTAACTTTCTACGTTGTAATATCGGTAACTGTACTTCCCAGTATAATATGAGAAACGAACAGAATCTATACAAAATACCGTATCTAAGAATGATGGGAGTTTCTGAAAGCAAATTCTAAGATCTTAACCTGCTGATATACTATAATGCCGTCCTACACTTTAATATCGATTGATGCACTTCACAGTAGATTTCAAAAAAAGAACTGTCCTCTATATAAATCACAACAATTATAAACAATACCTTATCGAGGTATGTTTGCAGTTACTGAAAATAAGCTCAAAATTTTGAACCCGCTGATATGGATTTATGACGTCTAACATTCATATCAGTGGCTGTACTTCACGGTGGATTTATGACGTCTAACTTTTATATCAGTGGCTGTACTTCGCGGTAGATTTCAAGATGAAGACTATGCTCTATATAATTTAATTTTGGATGTTACACGTCTTCTGATTGGCTGACATTTTTTTGTCTTTCAGCTTATATACATTATTTTGTCATGTGACTGTGACGTCATCAACGTTTTTTCATGATTTATTCCTTAAAAATGGAATTTAGAATTAAATTATAAGGAATAAAATTGAGAAGGAATGTAATATTTTTCTGTCTATTCGAAATAACATAAAAAATGTGGTGAGTAGTTTTAAATAAGCGGGCTATTCAGTGCATGTGCACTACATTTTTGATGTTATTTCTTCATAGACAGAAAAAAATATTACAGTCATTCCTTAAATAAAATGAAACAATTATAAACAGTACCTTATCGAGGTATGTTCGCTGTTACTAAGGGAAAGTATCATTGTTTAGCTTAAAATCGCCAAAAAAAATGTGCATCCCTACGCTCTGTGCTATTTTTGCCATTTCTTCGACTACAGATATCGTAATTCTGCAGACCTACACTTGTATCATTATTAAAGTGTCACTGGTATTTTTCATCTCCTCTGTAAGTATAGTAAATTGTCCAAATTACATATAGTTTCTGGTAAAAAGAACAATACATAAAACGTTGTCCAATATCGACTGTCTATAAATATACTGTCTCCTTGTTTTATTGACGATTAGTATCAGAAATAGCCAGATACAAGATCATGTGAAAATAGTGTCTGCATAATATTTTCTTATTATTACCATAACAAACATATTTTCTGCCGCTAAGTCGACATTAATGGGTGTCTTGATCTTGCTCTATGATTGAGGTCTAGAACTAAGTAAATATATTAGTTAATCTCTTTTGCAACGGTGGCACTCATGATGTAATGATTTTCAAGTCATATAACAGTATACTTTCCTACGTTCTTACGAGTTTCTTGTTAAAAAAATCCGTGAAATTCCTTGGCTAATGAAGATAAAAACATGGAATACTAAAAATTACAAATAATTGTTGCAAACTGGTTTTAACAGCTGTGGCTTCCTTATATAGCTTCTTATAGGACCAAGCATATTTTTTATATCCTGTTTTAAAAGTTAATTGCTGTCTTTTATTCATTATTCATTATATTAAGTGGTCACCTTGTTGGTAGTAGGACTGTTTAGATTTTCTTTGTGTGTTCGACTTCTAAGTAGGAGATTGTGTAATGTAGAAGCTGGTTTAACCCCAACCCATTGTGTGCATGGGTGAGGTTATCTAGCCGGTGGGTTGTTCGTTGTTGCTTGTCCCTCTATTTTAAGGAGTCGGTTGTTGGTAGTTTGTGTAGTTATTGTTACTATCCAACCTTTTAGCCATTCATGTTATCCTTTTTATGAATTTATTATTATAGGAATAAAATACAAAAATAAAAAATAGGCCTCATGTTTTCGATGGGCGCTTGACTTGTGTGTAAATGTTTGCTGTTTCTTCAAAAGATTGTATAGGATGTCGAATGTTTTATTTTTATAATCTGGTAGCAAGCGTTACTGCCAGGAACCAATGAAGGCCAATGAACAATCACTAAATTCAAAATGTAAAACACATCAATATTTAAAAAAAAACAAAAAAACATTTTTATGTCATGAGTTTTTTTTTAAATATTTAGTGTTTTACCTTTGTAACTTTATGGTTGCCCAGCATTTTCTGTCGTTTTGATTTTAAGTTTTGGGACCATTGAAAATGGTTCCTGGCAGTAACGCTTGCTACCAGATTATAAAAATAAAATATTCGACATCCTAAACAATCTTTTGAAATAAAGAAACATCAAACATTTACACACAAGATAAGCACGCATCGAAAAAATAGAAATTTAAACTCTAATTTTAGGCATTAAAATTGAGAATGGAAATGGGGAATGTGTCAAAGAGACAACAACCCGACCAAAGAGCAGAAAACAGCCCAAGGCCACCAATGGGTCTTCAACACAGCGAGAAAATCCCGCACTCGGAGGCGGGCTTCAGCTGGCCCCTAAACAAAAATGTGTACTAGTTCAGTGAAAATGGACGTCACACTAAACTTCGAAACATATAATAGAACTAAAATTAAAAAAAACATACAAGACTAACAAAGGTCAGAGGCTCCTGACTTGGGACAGGCGAAAAAATGCGGCGGGGTTACACATGTTTTGTGAGATCTCAACCCTCCCCCTATACCTCTAGCCAATGTAGAATAAACAAACACACAGCAATACGCACAGTAAAACTCAGTTTAAAAGAAGTCCGAGTCCGATGTCAGAAAAGGTAACAGAAGAAACTAAGCAAAATGACAATGATACATATGCCAACTTCAATTAGGTGTATTGCTACCAAAACATTGTATCCGGTTTCATAATAAGATATGAAAAAAAAAAATTCCAGTGAATGTTAGTTGTAGGAACTAACCCTGCATTTCATTGCAGGAAAAAATCTTGAGTCATAAACATATATCTTGGGTGTTTTAAGACACCACTCTTTTCTTTTATAACCATTTTCTGTTCCTATAAATTATTTTGGAAACATGAGGTGACCTATTTACTTATGCTGGTTAACACAAAAAAAAAGAAAGTTGAGAAATGTCTTGTTTCCTTCTGGGCAGGGTTACTTTCTTATATGCAATGAAATGTCGCGTGACATTTTCCCTGTAGCACTGGAAAGGATTAAACTTTATGCATACCAAGCATTTCATTCTTTTAATTAACGGTAAATTCTGCACAATTTTGACAAATAACAATTTAACAAAGACTAGTTGGAAAAAACAACGATGGAATCACCGCTTTTTATTATAGACATCAGTAGTTTAGTGATGTTAGTTTTGCATGCATCAGCCGTCATATAAATAAAGTTAAGATTTAACATGAGCATGATTAGATAAAAGGCAGATTACGAAAATAATCTGATTCATTTAAGGTTTTAATGATTGCAGTATATTGATTCTTAAGTTTTTTGTAAAGAACATAGCTTTATGCAAACTAAGTTTCACAGTAAATATAGAATACACAAGAAATCGTTTCGTTAAAAACTATTATTACAAGTACATTTCTGTCGGAATACCTTACCGTAGATAAGAACTGGAAATCTATTTTAAACAGTTTGATTCGAGCGCCACGGATGAGTATTATGAAGACATAATATGGTGTACCAAATTATAAGCTTGGTATGTTAGATGAGTTTTTTCATGTTATGATTTTCTGATAGATTCAATCAGCAAGTGTTTCTTCTTCATGTCATTGATGAAATGTTTATCAAGTAAGTTTTATATTCTAAAAAAAATCCGAATTAATTCTGTAAGAATTTATCTAAATATTCCAATTTTTTTTTATTAGGTTTTGATAATTGACTTTATTTAAATATTTTACTAGAGTACAATTTATCAAACTTCATCTCTTTGTTATGATTTGTTTTCATTTAGTTCTTTGGTTGAAGATATCTGTCTTAAGAAAGATGAAGAGTCCTCGATTTATAATTGATTAAGAAGTAGTTTGAGAAGTCACACTGGAATCAAATGTATTTAATAAATGAAATGTTAATACCCTAGCGTATCGTATTGGTCTATCAATTTATCATTATAATCTCAAGATATTCTTGTTTCAGTAGCTTTGCCTGAAGATTCCACGATCACAATTTGTTTTTTTATTAAATTCTGTACATTTCTAATTGATATATTTAGAACTCTATAAAACGACCAACCAGCAAATTTAAAAGATATCGGGTGGTCTAGAATTGGCAATGCTACACAAACAGAAAAACGTATTAAAAAGTCTTAAGACTTTTATATATATATGAAAGAAAATCAAAATTTATCCGTGGAACTTGGATTAACCTTATCATGAAATGAGAAAGAAAACTACAATTGGTCTCAGGTGGAGGTTGTATCTTCGGCAATCATACCACACCTGCTTATTTTTATAGTGCTGTTATTATAAGTTGAAATAAAAGAGGTGTTTGCTATATATCGACATGGGTTCACACGTTTATGTAATGATTTCATAAAATGTACAATATTGTGGCGACAAGCAGATTGTAAAATAATGAAAACTGAATATTCATAATAAAATAGTTATAAACAACAGTTGAAGTATTGTGATAAAATTTAATCAATCATGTTTTTAAGAGGAAACAATTTCATTAAGAGTAATTTAGAATGTATAATTGAAGAGAACTTTCCATTAAATTCAAAAAGGTTTCTTGTGATCAATCTCAAACTATCCTGTTTCTATGTTTTATTGCGTTATGTTGTATTTTCAGTGCTTATATCATGCTGAAGATATATGGTTGCAGTTAATGGTGATGAAAGAATGGATTGGACTCTTTCACAATGATTCTTTATTTAATATTGACTGTCATGTTACGATTCCAGACTTATTCATCACTTCCACAGTTAGGAAAGAAAGTCGCAAATCTAACAGGTAAGGTTGCGTGGTTCCTAGCAAACTTTCCTGTGTAAAAACTACTTAATAGAAAGATAATGTAAAATGAGATCAGATTAAAAAAGTGTTGCTTCAAATGTATACATTATTGATATCCATGGGGACAATGTATATCATGAGAAGGGGTACGTGTTGTAAAAGCCATAAAGTCACAAAAAAGGGATAAGTTATTTTTACCTTTATAATTGGAAAAACCAATATAAAAATATGACGTATTTGCTTAGTTAGCTTTAATGAACTATTGACCCAATTATTTAAATATTTTTAATATGAATGTATCGCTGGTGCTACAGTGACTTCCATCAACGAGTAACTTTTTGTGTTCATTTGATAAGATCTGTGTCTTTTAAATGTCTTTTAAAATCAGTAATGATAAAAAATTCTAAAAAAAAAGTATATGTATTTCAATATTCCAATGCTTCATTACAATTGTCTTGGGAATTCTCAAAGGTTTTTGTTTTTTTGAAAACATGTCTAAATGAGGTAGGTCCTATGACTTGGGACAGGAACATAAAGCTATGTAGTGTCTACAAGGTGCAAAATATATCATTTAAGTTAACCAAGAATGCCCTTTGGTGCAAAATTTTACAAAAAACATGTAAAATTTGCTATATTTCACAATTTGGACTTTAACAGAAAAGTATGCAACTGAAAATTATTTTTATTTTATTGTTGTATGGGAAAGGTTGCAAAATCCTTAAAGTAAATAGTTCAGATTCTTATATATTCAATTTCACAATATCAATCAACTTTCTGATTTTGACCCAAAGTGTGAACAAAAATTCAGGCTACATTGGCCATACTTTTAATCTGATTTCAAACGGCTTCATTTGCGACGATTTGTTTTATTTTTGTTTTTTTTTTTTAATTGAAGAACAGAAAGGATGCTAATGTAATATCCGAGATTAAATGATACCCTATTGAATCAAACAACAGAAAAAAAAATAGAAAAAAAAAACGATACGTTGGATAAAAAAAGTCGCATCGAAGAAGAACAGAACATCTCCCATGCTTCAAAGTTATCCAAAAGTAGAATAATCGTATAAATCACATTCGAAGTTATGACGGTAAAATGTCAAATGGACATTAGTTTAATTTTGCTTAGATGAAAAAGGGGTGGGCGCGGCGCAACGTTCTTTCAAAATGACAGATTTGCATGTGTCATCATCTAGCCACAGTCGAAATGATGATATGAAATGAAGAGGAACTAATATGGTTTTAAGGTTCATGTGGACCCTTCGTCTAAAATGGCTGCATTTTTACCTCAAAATTTACTCTGAGTACAGACAAACCTGTGCATCTAAAAAAGTTTTAAGGCATAGCATGCCCTAGATAAATAAAATTCAAATATATTTTATGTTTAAGAAAATTAAAAACTTAACGGGATTTTGCAGTGCACTTTTTTTCATTCCTCCAAAAAGTGCCAAAATAAACTAAGTTGGGAAAGAGGTTTGAGAACTTCCTCACAGGTAATAATTGAAGTGAACTGTATTGATTGACATGGACAATAGATGGACAATAGATACCTGACAATAATTGGTGATTTAAACTGTGTACCTGAGTGGACCATATCAAGTGAAACTCGACTGTTTGTTTATTTTATCATCTTCTGCAGGGACGAAAAAAAGTGCACTGCAAAATCCAGTCAAGTTTTAAATTTTCTAAAACATACAATGCATTAGAAGTTTATTTATCTAGGGCATGCTATGCCTTAAAATTTTTCCAGATGCGCAAGTTTGTCTGTACATAGAGTAAATTTTGAGGTGAAAATGCAGCCATTTTAGCCAATGGGTCCACATGAACCTTAAGGTTCCACTAAAGTCAAAATATAGGACACTTCATAAACATCTAAACTTTGCTTGTATTTTTCAACCTATAATGAGTAAAGTCCTAAACTATGAGAACATATGTTCATTTAAACATACTTAACATATACACACTGTGTAAATTGTAAATAAACTTGAAATTGTTATGTTGTGGCCAAACCGGTTCTTGGGGTGAACACTAAATTTTCAAAAAAATCTGGAGGCCTGCGAGACGACTTAATTTGTTTAAAATTGGTATGGACGAATACTGTTATATCTAATGCAGGGCAAGCTCATGTTGTATTTTCAGAAAATGTATTGATTTTCGAGTTTCAGTTAATTTCATGTATCTAGGTGAACAAATATCGAAGGTACAATACAGAAATTGGACAAATATGCCTTTAAAACATATGTATGTGACAAATCAACATGAGCTTGCCCTGCATTACATGTAACAGTATTCGTCCATACCAATTTTAAGCAAATTAAGTCGTCTCGCAGGCCTCCAGATTTTTTTGAAAATTTAGTGTTCACCCCAAGAACCGGTTTGGCCACAACATAACAATTTCAAGTTTATTTTCAATGTACACAGTGTGTATATGCTAAGTATGTTTAAATGAACATATGTTCTCATAGTTTAGGACTTTACTCATTATAGGTTGAAAAATACAGGCAAAGTTTAGATGTTTATGAAGTGTCCTATATTTTGACTTTAGTGGAACCTTAAAGGAATGAACTATGTTGAATCCCATAACGTTGATGCATTTAATCGGAATGCATGTCATTTTAAAAATCCATTTTGACGGAGTCACCGAATACATTTCCATTAATTTCACGTGAGCGGAAATTGAGGATCTTTACTGGCACTTTTCTTGAAAGCAATGGCGAGAAAAGAGTTATTAGGGAATTTGTGAATGTATTCTTACATTGATCAAATCATACTGGTCATTAAATACAAAACGTGTCATTCCCGAATCATATTCCCAGAAGTATACTCCGATAAACTCGCAATTTGATTTTATTCATGGATGTCTATGAGAATTAGATGTGATTAAAGAAGTTTATATTATTGACAGACACTTTCCAAATCATCGATCTTTATTGCAGACCACATTTCGATGAAAATTTTTGATATCATTTTGTCTTCAGTTTAGGGTTATTTTGACAGGTCTGTTACAGGAAAAAGAAATGGCGAGATTGAGGACAATTCTTACGCAAACTGCCACTTAGGAGAAAAGTTTATTCGATTAACATGTCTTGTTGTTGAGCAACAGGCGAGAGTAAAATGCTAAAAATTGTTATGCCATTAATGATTATATGTCCTTTATTTAAAATCGAAAATCTCATAGCAAAATATGAAAAGGGTTTACATGACATTTTCCCCAAAATAAACCGTTTAGTATTCCTCCAAAAAATACACAAACTCATCAACTAACTGAACAGTCTGCAATCTGTAAACCGGTATTGATTCATAATCAAATGGAAAAAGACTGGTTAAAATAACTCTCTCTCTCTCTCTCTCTCTCTCTCTCTCTCTCTCTCTCTCACACACACACACCCTTACATACACAAAACGGAACGATCGTAGTGTTTCGGTGTCAGTGTGTGTATGTTTTGTTCTTTCAAAAGAGTTGCACGTAATATTAGATGTATTATAAGAACTCCATTTGTACAGACATTTGTGTTTGTCATTGTTTGTACCACTTTGAATACAATGCTATTACCAAAGCTTTCAATAAAAATTGAAAGCAAACATATTTACGAAGATATCCAAATTTTCCCTCATGGGGATGGACTTTCCAATAGTTGAACATCTTAATATTTGATAGCAGCATATGCATTGTATTTGTTATATCGATTTATCAATTATACCGATATACAACAATAACTTAGGAATACTAAAGTTGTTGATATTCGTTTTATTGTACATAATTATATATATGTATATCTATACTGTGACGTAATACGTTAATTTGTCAAATATCTAGTTGCAATGTTGCCCTCTAGTTTTCATTATTTCTTAGCGTTCATTTATATAATCGTTTTAGTTGTATTTCATTATTGTTTCCATAGTTTTCTTTTGACTATGCAATTTTTGTATTTCAAAGGTACAACTTAAGTATGCATGCAAAGTGATCAAACGGGATTGAAACACACACGAAGCAAAGTCTTTTTTTTATTTGAATTTTATTTACAAATAAATTGCAGTTTTTGGACTAAGTAAAGTTATCGTTTTATAATAAAGTTAGATACATATTTCACTGCGCAGGACTCATGTTACTGAAACAACATTTCAGAACGGTCGAGAGTAAAAGTTTGAGAAACCCCGTAAACAAATCATTTCAGAACGGTCAAGAGTAAAAGTTTGAGAAACTCCGTATAAAAACATTTCAGAACGGTCGAGAGTAAAGTTTGAGAAACCCCGTATATAAAACATTTCAGAACGGTCGAGAGTAAAAGTTTGAGAAACCCCGTATATAAAACATTTCAGAACGCTCGAGAGTAAAAGTTTGAGAAACCCCGTATACAAACATTTCAGAACGGTCGAGAGTAAAAGTTTGAGAAAGCCCGTATATAAAACATTTCAGAACAGTCGAGAGTAAAAGTTTGAGAAATCCCGTATACAAAACATTTCAGAACGGTCGAGAGTAAAAGTTTGAAAAACCCCGTATACAAAACACTTCAGAACGGTCGAGAGTAAAAGTTTGAGAAACCTCGTATACAGAACATTTCAGAACGGTCGAGAGTAAAAGTTTAAGAAACACCGTATACAACACATTTCAGATATTCAAAACAAAAACAAGATCTAAGCAGAACAACTAAATATATTCAAAGCTAATTCTATTAAAAAGAATTTAAAATGAAAACGAGTTACACTATTACGTTAGCAGAGACATTAACATGCAACTGTCTATAGAGTTTTCTCCTTTTCAAAGAAATTTTAACATAGCTCGATGAAAAATTTAATTTAAACCATCTGCATTTCATTAATTGAAATTCAAGTTGAAAATTTAGTAAATATTGAATGAAACATGGCGCCTTTTATTAGATTATAAACCAGTTATGGTGGAATTGTGTTGAAATTGAAATTAGCCTCTGTAAGTAACTCGATTTCTTGTAATTTTTATACAGAGTTCGGTTAGTTTTATATAGTATTTGCTGAATGTATGATCGAAAAGAGCATTACTACCAGATCAAAACCAATATTGTAATAGTTTTGTTTCTCAATAACAAAATTTTGTCAATAAAACCAGCCCGTCAACAACATAAAGTTTTACCAAGAACAGTTCGAACGTATGGTCTTCGCTAGTGAGCAGGAGCCAATGTCATGTGACAAAGCATTCACCAAACCTTGTCTGGAAAAGATAAGAAGGAATTGGACAGACACAATGTAAATCTGATATCCCTTAAGACATTTGCCAACAAGATATATAAAACAGAAAACTCTGTTCGTAAAAGGCTTCGGACTTGAACTTCGTATAATCGCAAGGATCAAATGATTTGGTTAAAGTAGATAATGTTTTGCACTACAGTACTTCATTTTGACCTTGATCAGTGACAAAACAAATAAAAGCACACATATGCACCATAAATGTATTTATCGTACCTCCTATACATTTCTAGGAGTATCATTGGTTAAAAGCAAACACGTGGAGACCCTGTATATTTAATATGGTGTTAGTGGGCGTGTTTTATTTTGATATACGGTTAGTAGCAGTATTACATCCCTTTGTAAAAACAACATGACGTTGGAGAAAAATCTGAAACGTTTCGCCCAAACAACAGATGAAGAAATTGATGATGAACGACTGAAAATAAATGCAGGAAACACATTACAGCTAACAACTTGTTATCGTTGGCATTTGTTTTTTGTATAGATCAATGGAAATAGGTTCTTAATATTGAAGACTTGATCACTTTGATAGGCCACAAGTCTAAATGCCACATGTAAAGATAGTTGATAAAATGAATTCGTTACACAGTGTGCTAACGACATAATACTTTATTTTTTCAAGAGAAAGGGCAAAAATACAAGTTCAAATGCAATATTTGAAAATACCTTCAAGTAAATGTTTTCCTGATACTAATGGCATATTTAGAACATTGATAGTAGTACTCATTTTATATTTTACCTCATTATTTTCAGAGGGCAAGGTCATAATATGTCGTCATGGTTTTTAGTTTAAGATATGATCTCTCTGGTGTATTCAATACGTGATAATACCATACCAGTACCAGTAAATGTTCTAGATACCAATGAACGGTTTAAGACGCTGATACACATTATTTACACTCTTTATTATATTATTTTCAGAGGGACCAGTCAAAAGATGTCGTCATGAGTATTCGTTTAGAGAGTATACATCCGGTATATTTATGTCGCCACAATTTCCCGAAAAATACGGTAACGAGTTGAAATGTGTTTACTTCTTCCGGGCTGATGATCGAGGAAGGATAAAGATTACATTTGACCTTTTCAAATTAGAAGGACCAAATTCTGACAAGGGGCAAGTAATATTTTATAGTCATAACACAATCATCATCCGTCCGAACAATATTCAGTTGACCCTCAATCCAGCTTATATTTTCATGGTATCATGACAGCATTATGCACGAGTATTGAGCGCTCACACACATGTTAACACTGCCACCTTCTGTATGTGCCTGTCAATAGCCTTTAGTTTAGTGGTTGTCGTTGATTCATGTCTGTCATATTTGTTTTTCGTAAATTGTTTTGTAATGGATTAGACCGTTAGTTTTTTTGTTTGAAATGTTTCACACTTTTCATGTCAGTGCATTTTAAAAGCCGACTATATGGTATAAGGTTTTTTTCATTGTCGAAGGCTGTACGGTCGCCTATAATGTCTTACATCCACTTCGTTTGAACTTTGGTTGATACTTGCCTCATTGGCAATCATACCACATTTCCTTATTTTTATATCACAATACATCATTCTTGTGAGTTGAATCAATATTCTATAAAGGACATGCATTCTGTACAGTGATTCAGCAAACAAAATATTTTACACTGCCTCTAGATATAGAACTGTCTTTATCTATGTGTTAATTTAAGTAAATCTTAGAGTGACTTTTAGGTTGATAAGTGTAAGTTAGGAAGTCCAAATTCTGTTTAATCTCAATTAATCTATGCATTGCAATGTGACATGCACGCATGTAGATGCGCATCTTTTGTCAGAAAACAAATGCCATTAGTCTATATTATTTAATGTTCCTAAATACATAAGTATCTACTAGTATCCTCTAATATTGAAAGAATTGGACGATATACGTCGTCCTGCTAAAATGTAATCACTTCAGCTCATCATTAAAGACGTATAGAGGAGGGGGTGGACAGCTATTGTTGGAGGTGTGAGGTGGGGGAGGGGCGGCGGAAGGTGGGAGAGAAAAAAATTCTAAAAGTGGGAGGTGGGAGATAGGGGAGCGGGAGGTGGGAGAAGGGTACACCCCTATCCACCCCCTCATAGAGACCAAGAATAATAATGAAAACGCTTGCCCTTTGATATTTGGCCATTTCCAAGTATTTCATGAGATTGTTGTCTTGTGTTCATCTACCCCATTTCTATTCTTGTCCCAACAAGAACTAAAAAAAAACGGAAATGATATTGCACTCTCAACTGGTTAATTGATCTTTCCTCAAACTGATAGTCTTAAGGGTAATAAGATAGGCGGATCAAGTATCAATTTGAAAATGTGTATTAATTTGTTTGACAGATTTGTTAAAAGTAAATAGATTTTCTAACACGACCATGATTATATATTGTGTAATTTAATGATATTGTCGAAAAATAAAATGCGATATGATAGTTATCATTCAATGGAAAGAAGCGATGGAAAATAAGACGACTTCAGGGAATTGCAAATGATGCTTAAATGTTCGACTAAAATTAGATCTTCCACGTTCTTTTATTATTTTCTGCTACTGAAAATCGATTTCCAATAGAAACTTTACGATTAGGCTTATGGGATTTCATCAAGTTTTTTTATAAGGAATCTTTATGTAATTGATATTTATTTAAGGAGACATGTAAAATCTAAATTCGTAATTGCTGTAATAGCCCACAAACAAGAGGTTTACAAATCTCCTACAAACAGAAAATCATTAAACTGCTAGAATTTACAAATCCTATAATGATTTCCCCATTTCAATACTGTAAATACATTATTCAAAGTAATTCAATGCAAAATCAAAATTATAGTTTTAAATTAATATCTATCTTGAAACTAGAATATCCCGAAACTGCAAAATCCAATTTATTTATTCTATAAACATATTAATCTATCCTCGGAACTGATTTTTAAAACTTTTTTTTGTATTAAATCGTCAACTGATTTCATTTCAGATGTCAGTTTGACTACATTGACATCTATAACATAGATCTCTCTGGATTCAAAGTACTAATGGATAGATACTGTGGGGAAAGTGTTCCGAAAGAATTCATATCTCAACAATCGAAATTAGAAATCGTATTCAATACAGATTTTACCAAGACTCTACATGGATTTATTGGACATTATGAATTCCTGGACGAAAGTAATGCCAGTACATATATACATAAGTATGGGTATGATGTGGGTGATAGTCATTATGTTTATTGGTTAAATATATACATAAAACTGACCCAGCGTAAATATTGAGTTCAAGATTATTATTAGCTCACCTTATCTTAAGGAGTATATTCATTTTTTTCGCTATCATAATCATCTCTTGTTTACGTCTTGCGCCAAAAACCAACCAGCCTGTAGACATGATCGAAGAAACCAAACATTCTATTCTTAAGATTGCTTGAAGTGTTCCTGTTCTATTTAAATCGAAAAATGCTCATCTTACACAGTAAATTCGCAGGGATGGTATAATGTTAACATCTTCAGTACTTTAAGGGCTCTTTTGTGTCTTGGGGTTTTTATTTATATCTTCTACTGAATTTGTTATCTGACACCAAACTAATAAAAACAGCACTAATCATGATTACAAAATTGAGGCCGAGTTTATTTATTCCCAATATCACCGTATGTTATATGTTTGTTGATAATGTTTAATGTCTTACACTGCTGATTTAAGTTACATGGTACATTTGGTGGTTATGAAGTCTATCCGAATCCAAATTGACCATCATCTTAAAAAGAATTCAATATCACATAGGAACACAGTGAGAAATTGATAAACTACTTCTTTTAATAACTCGTTTTACAGTTTAACGCGTGTTATGCACATATTATAAAAATAACTGATAAAATGTATGATATATCAAGAAAATGAAGTTTAAAACCCTGGAACATATGTTTACATTAATGCCTTTAAAAAGTGCTTGCCAAGTTCCATATAATACACCTATCTCACTCACCATAAGGATCTACTTTCTCGCTAGCTTTGTAATTGCTATGGTAACTACTACAACATATGAAGCATATCATCACTTAAATTGACAGGGTTTAGGTTATCATATATCATGATATCGTAAAATGGTATCGGACTTTAAACCTGATCGTGCTCCTGAATAGTGGTATCGCGTTTTCTGTACGATCGAGTCGCTTCCATCAAGTATGGAAATTGATTTCTAAGAGCTTTTTTCAGTGTTTTTTTTTTAGATTTAAATCATTTAATGGAAATTTGTAATTAAAATATATGATATCTGAAACCTTTAGAAATTTTTTTTTGTGATGTTATAAAAAGTATAATATACTAAGAAACATACGTCTTTGTTTTACATTCTACTAGAACTGCTTAGACTCTTTGGCGTAAATTATTGTCAAGTTATAATTGTTGAAATGTTAAAAAAAAAACGAATCACTAGAATGTAACCTTCTATTACGAAAAGCCTAATAGGATACACATATCTGTAATATCGTACCTACTGGTTGCTCAATATACTGATGCTACATTTAAACTATATGATTCAGTAAGTTAGCAATGGCTAACTGTATTTGTTGTATCCTAACGTTAAGTTTAAGGGAATAGATGTGATCATCATAGGCACAAAACAATAAATATAAGTTTCGTGAGAAAATATATTTGGTCTTTTCGCTTAGAAGAAAGAATACGTTTGGAAATATTCATAAATTTCTTATAAATCTGCAGTTAGATTTCAATTGACTAATTAAATAAGGGACAAGAAAACTTTTTTGTTCTGATCAAAAAATGTTTTGGACAAGCCAAAACAAAAATCATACTGTACAAATTAGTGGGTTTAGGTGATCCTTAGAGAACGATTAAGTATCTTAAATCTATGAATTGACTTATAATTTTCCCCTGAAATGCGGCGAAAGAGGAGGGCCAAAATTCTTTTCGAGAAGTTGGATATGCTCTTCTCCTGTTTGCCGCAAATATAATAAGTAAACTAAGGTTTGTATAAAACAAACATGATGTCATATAAATATGGGTAGTTATAGTGAAATATATTTCTATATGCAAGGAAAATGTGTCCTATTTCAAAGTATATAAAAACCATTTTAGATTGGCACCAATTTGGAATGTCGACTATTGGATGTGGGCCGGGATTCCATACAGGTATGACTGGTATAATCACCTCTCCTAATTATCCAGATAACCCAGGAATCTCAACTGAACCTGGATCTCGCTGTACCTGGATAATTAAAGTACAGGACAACGAAAATATTCTTATCACTATGGTGGATTTAGATTTATCTAGTAAGTCGTCTTTACCTCATGAAAAATTAGTTATATCTTAAAACCAAAGAGACTATTTGCATTTCGAACGGTTTCAAATTCTAAAGGACTATGGTTAGTTTCGTTGTTTACACATCATTGTGAAAATAACGTTGGTTTAATTTCCATTATTAATGTCGTTGTTACCCAACCACAACGTTTTGGTGACCTTTCAAACATTTCACCGAATGCTTTGTTTGCACCCCTAAGTGAAAATAGTGTTGGTTGAATTTCCATTGTTTAGGGCGTTGTTCACCAAATGCAACGTTTTGGTGATCGTGTTTCAGAATACAAAAACAATATATTTCCCAGAATGCATAGTTCTTGAATTGTGAATTACAAAAGACAGATTTAAAACTTTACTATAAATGATTATTTAGAGAACTAACAAAAGTACATGTGAGTCACACGTTAATGAGACATCTGCAAATGTTCTTGACTCTAAGGTATTATGAAATCAATATACTGGCAACATATGGAAAACAATCGTTATTGGAACAATTGACAAATGACCGTTATATAGTCTGACTTGGTGTAAGCAATTATTACGGTACATATCATCTCACTAGTATGAGTTATTTATAGTTTTATGAAAGTCGGGAGTCTTAAATTGGCAATATACGCAGGCTAAAATTTCAAATCACAAGGCGATATTTACCAATGTTACTGCATCAGATGCGAATTTCTTCATTGAAGCTCGAAGCCAAACATTTTTTTTTAATCCTAACCCTTATACAAATGATGAAGAGTTGATAAAACCAATCTTCATACTTTAAACAAAAGAAAAAATCAGACGTTAGAATATATGTTAATTATAAAGAAATAGAGAGAAAGCTACCAAGGAGGCAATCAAAAATCACAAATCAATGAAAAAAGACAATAAAATGATAAATAGAAAAAGAACGAACACACAAACGTTTGACAAAAACCCTACATAGAAAACTATAAACCAAGGGTATAACTAAACTCTGATGTTACTTATAAACTATACATGTGAATAGCATATAAAACTTCACAAAATATACGACTGGTTTCTCGATTACTTTTGCAACCATCACATTGTAAACATCCAAATACTGTAAGAACTATCAAGTTGGAATTTGGAAATGTCAACTTGGAACTGAGAATTGGCAACTTGGAACTGAAAAATGTCAAGTCAGAATTTGGAAATGTCAAGTTGGAACTGAGAAATGTCCGCTTAGAACTGAGAAATGTAAACTTGAAACTGAGAAATGTCACTTGGAAATGAGAAATGTTAAGTTTGTAATGAGAAATTTAAACAACAGAATGTCCCTACAGGTCTTTCGTACATTTGACTTATCAAAAGCGATTTTTTTTCACACTTATCTTAACATTTTGATATAATCACCTTGTATGACGATACATTAGAAAATGATGTCGACCAACATAGAAAGTCAATGTCGCAAAATACCCAATGGTAGTAGTTTAGGAAATTTTGTTTCTGCAGAAAAAATATCAGAAATAAAAAGTCAGATTTGAAATTTAAATCCAGAAAAACACTTCTGATGGATACAATTTTTAAGTGTTATTTCCATTTTTAAAAAGGAAGTTTCTTGAATAAGTTTCATTAGGTACGCTGGAGATTAAAAGTTTGGAAAGTAAACATTCCCGAAAACGCCAGAGAGCAGAAAACCAGAACAGCCTAAACTGTCAAAGGTTGTCTCCGTTTTTATCTTATTTTTTCGCTCTAAGGTATCCGGTTTTTATGACAGTCTCTTTCATTTTATTTACTAAATATAACGTGACGGTGCGGTAGATCGATAAACTTTCTGATCAGACTTCTATTCTGGTATCATGAGAAAATATAAGAGTGTAAAATCATGTATCTCGCTCGCGTGTGCAAACACCTAAGATCACCTCAGTATTTGGTAGAGGTCGTGTTGCTCGGTCTGCAATTTTCTATGTAGTGTTTTGTAGACTGTTTTGTCTTTTTGTCGTTTTTCGTATTTTTTGCCATGATGCTGTCGGTTTTAATATCTTCAACTTATAAATTCATAATAGTCACTTTGGTATCTTTCTCTTTTTTGATACACAAATACATTCGTGACGGTGACAGTACAACGTTAATAGTGTCGATTCCAGTCGTTCTTCGCATTACCCTTCTGTAGAAAATTTTGCATTATAAGCACACCCCTGTTTATAAAGTCAGTATAATCTGAACATGCACGCACACACCATTATAATCGAGATATATAATAAATGCTATAGAATTTGGTAGAGGGTAAGACTGATCTGACGAAAATAAGGTTGACCATTAAAACGTTTAAACCCGCTGCATTTGTTTGCACCTGTCCTAAGTCAGAAACCTGATGTTCAGTGGTTGTCGTTTGTTGAAATGGTTCATACGTGTTTCTCGTTTCTCGTTTTTATATAGATTAGACTGTTTGAATGGTTTTACACTAGTCATTTTGGGGGCCCTTTACAGCTTGCTGTTCGGTGTGAGCCAAGGCTCCGTGTTGAAGGCCGTACTTTGACCTATAATTGTTTACTTTTACAAATTGTGACTTGGATGGAGAGTTGTCTCATTGGCACTCATACCACATCTTCTCATATCTATTGACAATGGGAACTGATTTTGTCACGTGCGTCATAGATCCTAGTTTCAAGTTATCCACCTGTCATTTTCAGGGGAAAAGATCCAGCTACTTATTTCACAAAAAAATCTTAAGAGAAAAAATACTCGTAAGTCATGAACATTTCAGTATAACTTACGGTCAAATTTTGTCGTAAGATTATTTGTGAAAAGCTCTCCAGATAAGTAATTTAAAATCAATTAAATTGTCTGCTCACAACCCTCACAAATCTAAAAAACTGTTGGAATAATTACAGGAAGTTGACAATATATTATATCTTCTTTTTTTACAGTATATAAATAACACATAGCTGAGAGGGTGATAGGGCAGATTGTTACCCCGAGAAAACATTGTCAACTGAGGCGAAGCCAAAGTTGACAATGTCTTTTCGAGGGGTAACAATCTGCTCTACATGTATCACCCTCTCATATATGTGTTATTTGATTTATTATACTGAATGTTCTGTTATTACTGTCTATTAAATTTCAAATTCAAAGTAATAAACTATAACGTCTTTTACATAACAACCATCCGTAATTAATAAAGCGCACACTTGATCAAGCGTCTCCGTGAAAGGTAATACAGTATTTACCATAGGATATAGTAAATTGTCTCCCTCGTATAAACCAATCAAAATCTGGCATTTTGACATGAAGTATAATAATATAAAATATCACACTGCCTTTTTTAATCTGTCAATCTATTATATCAATGCTTTCTAGGGAAATAACCTTTAAGTTTATTGTGTTGACATTCTTCGTGATAGTTTGCTGGTGTTACACTTTGCATTATATTGTGTAACAGTGGCAATAAAAGCATTAATAATTACGTAGAGAAAAGCTTTTTTTACAGTCTTCTAGGTATAATAATTTTGCATTATAAGCACACCCCTGTTTATAAAGTCAGTATAATCTGAACATGCACGCACACAACATTATAATCGAGATATATAATAAATGCTATAGAATTTGGTAGAGGGTAAGACTGATCTGACGAAAATGAGGTTGACCATTAAAACGTTTAAACCCGCTGCAATTTTGCTTGAACCTGTCCTAAGTCATGAACCTGATGTTCAGTGGTTGTCGTTTGTTGATATGGTTCATAAGTTTTTATCGTTACTCGTTTTTTTATATAGATTAGACCGTTGGTTTTCCTGTTTGAATGGTTTTACACTAGTCATTTTTGGGGCCCTTTATAGCTTGCTGTTCGGTGTGAGCCAAGGCTCCGTGTTGAAGGCCGTACTTTGACCTATAATAGTTTACTTTAACAAATTGTGACTTGGATGGAGAGTTGTCTCATTGGCACTCATACCACATCTTCTTATATCTATTGACAATGGGAACTGATATTGTCACGTGTGTCATAGATCCTTAGACCTAGTTTGAAGTTATCCACCTGTCATTTTCAGGGGAAAAGATCCAGCGACTTATTTCACAAAAAAATCTTAAGAGAAAAAATACTCGTAAGTCATGAACATTTCAGTATAACTTACGGTCAAATTTTGTCGTAAGATTATTTGTGAAAAGATTTCCAGATAAGTAATTTAATCAATTTCTACGTTAGAAATAAATTGTCTGCTCACAACCCTCACAAATCTTAAGAACTGCGGGAATAATTACAGGATGTTGACAATATATTATATCTTCTTTTTTTACAGTATGAAATATCACAGAGCCTTTTTTAATCTGTCAAACTATTATGTCAATGCTTTCTAGGGAAATAACCTTTAAGTTTATTGTGTTGACATTCTTCGTGATAGTTGGCTGGTGTTACACTTTGCATTATATTGTGTAACAGTGGCAATAAAAGCATTAATAATTATGTAGAGAAAAGCTTTTTTTACGGTCTTCTAGGTATAATAATTTTTCGTAATTCTTATAAAATAGCCCGTGCAATTACCCAATCAAAAGATGTAAGAGATATAATCGATATAAAAGTATATATTGTTTATAGTGTTCATCAATCAAAAAGTAACAACACAACGGGAAAAAGAAGGAGAAGATGGAAGATACCATATGACAACCAAAACCCACAAGACAAATAAAAAGCAGACAGCATCATGGCAAAAAAGAAAATTGACGAAAGGATATTATGTTGTATTTTTTTTACCTATTTTGGGTTGAGTTTGTTCCTTTTGTTTGTAATTACTTGTCAAATTTCAGGTTGTTCCATTTTCGCATAGATGTTGTTTTTCCTTAACTTGTTTTATTGCAAGATGTTCGCATACACGCCAGGTTTTTTAATTGCCAGTTTTAATGTTGGTTGTTCACATATACCTGACTTCTTTTTTATCTGTTTTATTGCAGGCTGTTCACGTACACATCTATTATTTTTTGTTTCATTGCAGGTTGTTCACATACACGTCTGCTGTTTTTCAATGGATTTACTGTACCGTTGTATCCTGACGAAAACTATTGTGGGAAATCCCGATACGTTCAGGAGGATTTAGAATTTATTTCCGGCAGTTCTAGGCTTGTTATAAGGTTTGCTTGATATTGCTTAGTTCTTATACCACTACCAAAACTTACTTTGACTGCTCTTCAACTTTAGAAATGATTTGTCATTCCAATACACCAGTTTCGCAATTAACTGCGCATGTCTAACCTAATTAGCCAAACTATGAAATCACGCGATATATCCCGATAATTCATCGATTGGGGCTTAGAGATTGATAACACCGTGACTACTGTTGTGTTGTTGGTTGCAGTGATGGTCGATCTGGAGTGTCAGCAATTAATCTTAGGTAGACAAACGAGCGTCTTGCTTATCTATAAGTACTTTTGATAACCTATTAAAGTTAGCATAAGTTTCATTTAGAGTTGCCAAAGAGTTCACTAATAGTCATATTTATTCATTTTATACGAGGAGAGTATTTGTATATCATTTAAAGATTTTGTTTTGTTTTGTTGCCTTTAAAGAAAAATGCTTTTTATATGTAAGGGTGTGGCCGATAATACAGAATCAAAGAAGCACAATGTATTATATTCTTTTGTCCTTCTTATAGATATGAGGCTAATCCTCAAGTAGATGCCTCTAAATTCAAATTGGTTTGGACAGCAGTCACTAAAGTGGAATTAGGTTAGTATAAACCTACGTTTAAAATGCATTGTGTCCGCCCTATTTACAAATCTAATTCGAATCATAATCTGCCGATATATCAATAAAACGAGAAGTGGAGTATGTATCAATACGACAACAACTGTATGACACAAGTTTCTTGCGCTGAAAGTTCCGGAGGATATTCACTAATTGGATGAATCCGTTATCTTTTTGTACTGTTTGTCGCCAAGAGTATCAACTGCCCAGGAGTCACTGTGCCGGCATTTGTAATGATTTTATTATGTTTACCTTGTTTAATTCTTGATTTTGTTTTCAGTTTTACAAAATAAAGACTATATTTTCTATAGACAAGGTTGACCTTAACACTATTATAGCTTACTACGTATTAAGCTTTCCAAACTTAAACAGTTGCATGAAAGCTCATTGTGAAGATTAATATACAAAAAAAAAGCCTGAAGCACATATTGCTTTGGTTTATTTGCACGTGGCTGATACCACTGCTTATTGACCGTATTTCCCGAGCCCAGATTTATCGTTCATCCAGTAATCAATATGGCAATGATTTTACACAATACATTTCTAAACAAATTCTCGGCTGCATGCTATTTTGTGACTTGTTAGAACTGAAATTTTTGTTTTTTAAGGGGTTAATTTGATTTTTTGTTTGTTTGTTATTATGTTATGTTGTTTTTGTTTGTATTAATAACTTCTTTGTTTGTTTGATACATAAAAAGGAAACCAGAAATAACCAAAAATATAGGGCAGTACAACAGACACTACAAACAACCACCATCCGACTCCTCTGAGAAAAAAGGACGAACACAAAAAGTAACGAATTCGAAAAAACGAGTAACAACTTTTTTTTTATTTTATTTTTTTTTTAGTTTGTTTTAGTTTTTTGGGGTTTTTCATGGTTTTTTTTGTTGTGCGTTTGTGTGTGTGTGTGGGGGGGGGGGAGTGGGTAAGGGGTTGATTGTTTTGGTTTTGAATATCAAGATCTATTATTTAAGTCTTTTGGAAGGTGATACAAAATATTAGAGCGTGGAACGTAGTAACTTTTGTCACTTTTTAATTTGACTCACCATGCACCATCTTTATATGGTCTGCATTTGAAACGAATAATAAAAATATTACTAAAACGAGAAGCTGAGTAAACGACAAACAACAGAAATCCATCAAACAAAAACGAATAAAAAACATGCTAGATATCTAGTATCAAAACTTCTACATTATGTCTGCATTGCAAATTGGTACAAACCATTTCTGATAGTATTTTTTTCTACTTGATGTTTTAAGTTCGTGGTGTCTTATCAACCTATCATACATTATTGGAAGAAGGAATCCAAGTCTTTGTCATTAACCATATTCATTACTTCCATGTTCCGTCTTTATGTCTCCAATTACAGCTAACTATAATTAAAATAAATTCCTATTCGCTTGATCTTTGATACTAGCAAGGTCTCTTATAGTCACACAACCAAAGGAATTATATAAAAAAAAAACTTAAAAGGTTCGCCGTACTGAGAATTATGGGTACAAAAAATTAATCTATGAACCAATCGAGTTCAATTTTGCTATGGTTTTTGCAAATGTACGATCACATGGCTAATTCAGGACTATCAGATTATGAAGCAAAGGGTTTTAGAACATAAACGCAACAGGTATTCCATAAGATTTAATTTTTTGTGTGAAAGAAGCTTGTTTAGGGAAAACATAAGCCAACATAAAGGAAACAACATTAAGTAAGTACATAGCTTTTATTTGGGGGGATAATTTTGTCATTTCACTGGAAGATTTGATCTGACATACACACTTTTGCAGGAAAATGTCACCAGTTTTTATGTCATGAGACAAAACACTGTTTGGAAAAGAAAAATAATGGATGTAAAACCCCAACATATCAATATTGCATCAACCATTCATTGTTGTGTAATGGTCTTCCAAACTGTGGAGTAACTGACAATAGCGATGAAGCAAGATGTAAGTAAATATGTATACTAGAAAAGAGAAAAAATAATAGACTGGTGTCTCCAGGATTTGGTAATATGTTGTTAAGGGTCGTGTCGTTTGTTTCATTTTTAAGTGTAAGGTTCAACTTCTACCATTTTTGGTTGTTTGATCAGCTCATCGTCGTTTGTATCAGGTTTTGGGTTTTCAATTATTACGGTCTAGAGCATCACTGAAAAAACATTAATTGTCGAAATGCGCATCTGGATACCAAAATCACTTAGTAAAAAAATCCTACGGAAAACGGGGATTGACTCAGGTGCTGAGGAAGGATAAACAGTTCAGAATTTCCAAACATATATATAATTATATAATGCTGATTGAAAATATATACAAGACGCCAATGTTAAATCTTTGTGAAATATGACATCCCTATAGATTTGGTTGTAGCAGACCAGATCAATGATTCCAGTTCTGTGTTAGCAAATTTATATACTGTCAAACATAATTCAATAGTTCAGATCTATTTCTGGTTTTGTTTAATAAACTCATGACGTACGTTATAAATATAAGTTGAAATGGACTTTCTTCGTCCAATGTTTTAAATGTTACTTCTACCAGAGACATATAATACATTTAATTGTAATATACGTCTCTGTCCACAAAGATTAAAACTATAATATGTTTACCAAGAAAAATACAAAATTCAAAGAGGATGAAACGCAAGACGCTGGAGATGGTTATTAGATAGTATCCAATGTTGTCACGTCATCACAAAGACATATACATGTAGCAAACTGAAGGCGTAGAAGCAAGAGACATTTTACTATTACATGTCTATGGTGTGGGTGATATGAAGTACACACTTCTTTAATTTGAGAGATGTTTATGCTCCAATGTTATGATAGAATTGCTGAAAAAATTAATATCATATCGAGAAGTGGATATGTATTGCGTTAATAGTTTTCTATATTGGCGTCGAGTCGATTATTCTAAGAATAATTAGTAAAAGATAACATCATACGTTACCAACACAACAACAAGTTAATATGTTGATAGTTTTTTGTGTGGCTGAGTATAGATAACTTAAATGGTTGAACGGTATAAAATTACATCCTGAAATAATGGCGACAGAAAATATAATCCTAAATCTGTGTACATGTTAGAGAAACCAATTGCATAAAGCTTGATGACTGATCAAAGATGATATGTAACATGTTGAGCACTGTTATCTATTAAAAAAAAATATAAACAAACATGCACTTATGTCATCGACGTTCTTTCTTTTTTATGCCCTGCCTACGATAGCATACTCAGAACATTATCTTTTCCGGTCTGTGTGTCCGTCCGTCCGTCCAATATCAGGTTAAAGCTTTGATTTAAGGTAGCTTGAAGTTTTGGTTTAGTGTAGTTTGTAGTCATATTTATTTGAAACTTAGTACACATGTGTTTTATGAAGTAAACAATTAAATACATATTCAATATAAGTATTTTGATCCAGATTTTACGCTTCACTGAACATAGAAATGTGACATGTTAATTTTTTGGTTTAAGGTAATTTGTTGTCATATCACCTTGAAATTAGTACGCATGTTCATTTTGAAGTGAACTGTTTGATACATATGTGTCAAATAAGGGTATTTTTACCAAGATTTCACGGTTCCATGAAAATGGAAATAGGAAAATTTACGAGCATGGCATGGTGTCCGTAGTGATTTCTTCATTTTTGTTCATTTATTCGACTTAGGCTTGGGTGACCTTAAACCTAATTACTGCATATGGATTTAGTGAAAAATAAGTTGTTCGATACAAGATATGCAGTGTTTCTAATATAAGATTGTACCGGTATGATTAAGAATACGTAAAATTAAGGAAAATAAGCTGAAGTAATAAAAACCACTGAATTGAAAACTGTCTGTGACACAAATTCTCTAAGCGCCTGTGTCATTCATGAGAGAAAAGTTCAATCATAATCAATAAAAAATTGCACAAACAAAAAGAACACAGAGGAGTGAATAACTAATGACGAGTAACACATCGGCTAGAAAGTCGGACACTTTTACATGCAGATAGATAATAATTCTCGGTTTAACTAACTTTACTGATACAATGATAATAAATACGATGTTAGAATAAATATAGAATCATGAGATGTAGCCGTTGAGACATCTATCCACAATAGTCCAAAAGACGTGGATATGATGAATTATAGATCACCGTACAGCCATTAACAATGAGCAAAATCCATATCGCATATTATATATAGTCAGCTATAAAAGGCCCTGACATGACAACATGTGAAACAATTGTCTACACGATATGATGTAACACAGTAAGGCAAAACAAAACCACATACCGCGGCTCTATTGACCCAACTCAGTTGCCATTTTCCCACTCGGACATGATTCTCCGAGAATCAATTTTAACGGTAAACATGATACTGCTAATCGTTCATCGTCCTAATATTTTGTTTACAAACTTGGCGAGTCTTCATGAGTTAACAGTGGTCATTTTTTAAATGTTCTTGAAATATTCTTGCCATTACTTAGATTATAATTTTCATAGTGTCATGGCGCATGCTTTAGATTATTCTGTATCTTTCAGGTTTAAACAGATTGGTATTCATTATAATATATGTTGCCGTGCCCGTCTCAGCTATTCTGTTAATACTCGTAATAGCATTATTGTGTTTTCGTTACCGAAAACGTAAACAAAATGTAATAAAAATGGAGTCACAGAAGCCACCACAGACACATTGGGTATCACCACACATTAGAACATCAGATCCAGGTTCCATTGCTGCACAATCCGCTACTTTGTTAACAACGAGTTTTGTTTCGGATGATAAAAATACGACTGATTTTGTTGATATGACAATAGATAGACGAAGAAAAATTCAGAATCGAACAATTGAAAACATTAAAAGTAGTGAAATGTTTAATAAAAGAAAAGAAAGAGATAAAAATGTTCATTATGAAGGAGTTGATGTTGGTTCGAACAATGAAGATGAAATTCATGATATAGTGACACATAATATTCATTTAGAACCTCAGATGCCTAATCAAGGATTACGAACTCATAAAAAACGATCATCGTATCATATGATGGAAGAGCTAAATTTAGAAAATGGACCTGATCCCGATGCTCAACTAAACGTTTAGTGTTTACATTAAGGGGTGGCACGCGTTTGGGGTGTCGGATATAGGGAATAAAAAGTGGGGATGTAGGATATAGGGAGTAAAAAAGTGGGACTGTGGGATCTAGAGTTAAAAAAGTGGGACTGTGGGATCTAGAGTTAAAAAAGATGGGATCTTGGAATACAAAGGAAAACAATTGGGAGATTGAAAGATAATTACAAAAAAAACAGGAATTGATAAATGAACACTTCCGTATCACCACCTCTACATTATAGAATTGAGAATGTAAACCGGGAATATGTCATATGCCATTCCATCATTTCAGTTATTCAAATTGACCAACTGCTGTAGAATGTATTATATTTTTTTCATATTTCATTTCCTGATATCATTAGTATCTTTTTATATTAAATCCTCATTCTGTATATTGAAGCAAAAATAATTCCTAATCAATCGCATCATATATTTTTATTCACAAATGTGCAAATGAATCAAACTTATGCAACTATACTTTACATTTCATATTACATTACTTAAGTCCGTAAATGAAAGTAGATTTTAACATATTGAAGATGTTTACATAGATAGTTGTGAGATAAATGTTAAATTTAACATAATAAATAGATGACAAAGGAGCAGGTAAATGATAGTTTAATATTGACCTTCTAATTTTTCATAAAAACGAAGTTTTGTAATTCTAAATTCTAAATTTGTAACATTTGATGAAAAATTTGCAAATTAGATAGATAGCTGGCAAATACCATATCAAGCAAGTTTTGGCATATTCCATCAGTGATGCGTTTTAACATCATAGGATGGAAGTCGTAATTTTGATATACATCAAGTTAGGTTTTTCTTTTAATAACACTAACCACGTGCATAGAACCAATATACTTTCTTGTTTGAATGTGAAGCACGCCTCTTTTTCCCTATGAAAGTTAACTTATCCCAAGGTTGTGGCCCGCCAGTATTTTCTGGAAAGCAATATGGTTTTAAATGCATTTAAAATCTAATAGATCTCATACCTGTGAAGATATAATGTTTTATGCAAAAAATAAACTGTTAAAAAATGCTTGGTTTACACTTTTGGTTTTCCGAATAGGGTTTATACTGTGCATTACAAAAAGTCGTATTTTCCAGTAGTTCACGCTTTATGACGTTGCTGTATAAAAATCTTCTATCATGACCGCGACCGATATTAGAGTGAAGTACGACAAGATTTCTTATCAGTAGGTTAAAAACTTTGAGCTTGCCATCATTCTTTTACATGGTAAAATATTATTCATTAGTTTGTGTCTTTTGTTATCTATATTATATCACTATTCTTAAAAGAGATAAAGCGTTCACTGCACTGAATCTTATTGTATGGTCTTCTATGTAAGTTTTTTCGTCCACTGGTCTAGATTAAACTGGGATGACTGAGATCTGAATTAATCAAATAACCCCCGCCATATCTAGTTAAAAACTTCGTCGCTTGAAGTATAGTGTAATGTCTTAACGTGTTTTGTTATTTTACGGTTTGGTGTTGAAGGTAGGTCTTTCATTGTTTTTATTTAAATTATTCGCTCCTATAATTACGATTAAGAACTTGACGTATTGTAAATACACCTGTCCAGTCTTTTGTTTAGGAATATTATGTTGCTCTCTAGATGTCTTTTGCCTTTGCGTTGCTGTCTCATTAACGTAGACACCACTTCTCCTTTTGTTCATATAGGTTTATTGAAAATTGCATATAATGTATAATTGGTTAAGATGGGATATGAAATATTTCTATTGTAAAGCCACTAAGATCCTACCTGGCTCTACCCCTTTTAAGTACCAGTGAATTAATATATGTAACGGTATTCATTCCATATCCGCCAAAATAATATATGCAAGAGCATCAATTCCATGTGTTGTATTGTTTTGTTTACTCCATTGATACTGTATGTTAAGTTCAGTTATAAAACAGTAACTATACTTTTTTTATATAGTTTGTTCTACGAGTAAGCATACCTTAACTTAAACTTTATTATACTATCGTTGTGGTACATAGTGATGGCGAAGTCAGCCCTTCCGTTCGATAGTCCTTCTGTTCTGAGACTACTATAACATATAGTGTTATAGTAGTCTCAGTTCTGTTCCGATTTTGTATCCGCAACTGCTCCTGATCTACTCAACAGAAATATGTGAAAATATCACCGAATATTAATCGCATGACGTTCTTTTGCACCCCTTAGTTTCATTTCTCCGATCAAGGATTTTTGGGATTTACTTTGCGATGACATCGATTTAATCATATCTGCCAATTGGTCTTTAAGTTTAACGCAACGAGACAATCCCGCACCCGAAGGCGGGCTTCAGCTGGTCCCCAAACAATAATGTAAAATAGATAAGCGAAATGGACGCCACACTAAACCCCGAAACATACAAATAAACCAAAAAAAAGGATGAAAATTTTGTTCTGCATTTTATTTAGTTGTAATCTCTGTCCTGCCTTTTTATTTTTCACTCTATTCGGTCCTGCCTTTTTTTATTAGTTTATCCTGACTTTTTTTACATAAATTGTCATCCTGCCTTTTTTTTTTGCCAAGTTGCAATCCTGCCTTTTTTTTACTCAAAACTCCTGTCCTGCCTTTTTTCAAATTTCATCCTAGCCCCCCTCCCCCCATAAAAATCAAATGGTAGCTCCCTAATGTCAACGTTTCGCCTTCTATTTTGTTATTGGTCTCAATTTGTTTTGGGGTTTCATTTACCAAGGTAGAAATTTGCCAGGGAATAGGATATATATGTGTGAGCTTTGCTCACAATACCTCTAGCTTTTATTACGGTGTATCTGCTTTTTACTAACAAATACGTTTCTCTGGCAATTGGCCGAAATTTTCACAAATTTGATTTTGCCTATTAGTACTGTTAAAGGCAAATCCACGTGGATTAGCACAACAAAAGACCTAACTAATATCTTGCACTTATGATGTTTTGAGGATACTTTAAATTAATTGCTATGGACTGAAATCTTAAACGTTAAAAACTTTTTTGAAACCTGTTTCATAGGTGTATTGAAATTTTCAGATTATAGTAATAGCAATGAAAATCACTACGCAGTGAAGATAACCATTTAACGTAAATTCTTTGTATTAAAATTTAACCACGGACAATTTGAGCTGCGTCAATGGCAACTTGCTTATTTTTTTAATTTCTGTGGTGACGTTGAGTGAATAATAATATGACAGGACTTTCTCAAATTACGACTTAGATCCTTTTGAAATTTTACATAGCTGCTTTTTTAAAGAATTGATTATACAACTAAATGTATTTGATTTGCAATTAGACATTTTTGTATACAAATACATTGTACTGGAATAAAAAAAAACTTTGGTGATATTCCAATCAAGTTTGGAAAAGGGTCTGTTCTAATGGATTAATTGCTTGGTATAATTAGCCATACAATAGGTTCTTCTTCCAAATGCTGCCCACATTCAACATGATGAATATTCTGGCAAGGTGAGCATGATTAAAAACGGGATAAAAACAAATTGTGCAGTTGATTTAGTTCGAGGTTTTGGTCACTTGCGACTTGAATATCTCGAGAGACTTTGCTGTGGCGATATCTGGAGGCAGTTTGTTCCAATCCTTGACAGTGTTAACGAAGAAGGACCTTTCCTAGTCTTTAAACTGTAATTAGGTAAAAATAAGTTTAAATTGAGACAACTCTTCAAAGAACATTTCAAGATTTCAAATTTTGACTGTACTATTGACCTCCAGATATCTTTTGGTTTTATTGTGTTTTTTGGTTGATGTCTCAATGAAAATATATATGAATATAAATAATAGTGTGGAGACACAGAAATGTCTCATGTACCAGATTACAACATCTGAATAATTCCTAAATGTATTTTTTTTAATTTTTGCAATGAAAAACATTCCTTTGTATTTATTTTGTATTGTTAATATTTCAGATCATTCTTTGTAGTAAATAAATCAAAAGAAAAATGTTTGATTGTTTGTTAGCATTGATATGCCTATATATGCCAATATGAAATGACATATTACCCATGATTCCTGAATCCAGATAAAGTTTTCAAAGTTTAGATAATAGTCCTATGTTTCCATATGAAAGAAGTGCAGATTAACAAGAGAAAAGTTAATTTTGTAATGATCTGCATTTCATTTCAAAACATACTGAGTGTCACGTAAACAGCTGATATCAAATGCTGGCTATTAGTCTGGCAGATCAAGTGCACCTTTCCATTTGAACTTGGGTGAGATTCATTTCTCAATTTTAATTCTATTAATTCCTAGGCAGGAGACTCACTCTTTTTCCCTTAAAAGTTAAAAAAAAAACATCCCTCTTTAAACTTGTCACCTGTGAGGGAGGTCTTAAATTTCCCTTTGACAAAAAATAACCCTAGTATTTTCACCCCCTTTCATTATTTGATTGTTTTTATAGTGTTTTCTGTGTTAGATTTTTATTACATTCAAAAACAAAGCTTATTACATAGTAAAAAGGCATCTTAGCCCATATTTTTTTTTTTAAGAATTAGATCCATGTATAGTTATATAATAAATATATGTTTGTGCTGAAATATTTAAATATCTGTATCTCTGATTGAAAAAAGGTTGTCATGCACAATCTCCCCCTAGTGAAGGTGGAAAGAGGAAGATCTCCCACTATGTAGAGGTTTGCAGGTATGTGAGCCAAAGACTGAAGTAAAATGACAACAGCCCTTCTGATACATTGGAATGTGGAGTAAAAAAAAGTACTAACACAGAATATGAGTTCAACTTTATTTTGGAAATTGATAAAATTTTAAATCTGTAACAAATACTTGTACACTCCAAATATATGATATATATTTTTTTAAGCCTTTAAAACATATCACAACTTATATGATAAATATATTCTAAATCACAACTAGACTTTTTAGTAATATTGTCATAAATTAAAAAATAACATTTTAGATGAACATCAACTGATATGTCATTAATGTATATAACTTAATACAAAGAGACATTTATCTAAACATCATATTATATTATCAAAAAAACTGATGGAATGACCAAATATATGATAATAACACAACTTCACTTCATTTATGATGTTTTAGTAATGTTTTGCTTTTAAGTAAATTATAAAAATAAGGAGATGTGGTATGATTGCCAATGAGACAACTATCCACCAGAGTTCAAATGAGGTGGAAGTAAGAAATTTCATTTTTTAAATACCGGTACTCTATTTTGGTATAAATCTTTGTGAAATATAATTTTTTTCTAAAATGAAAAACAATATTTGGTATTATTTGTGTAATTTTAACACTAAAGATCATGCACAAAGCTAGTACAAAGAATTTTTTACCCAAGTAAAACTACTTGTTTCGATTCTTTGGTGAATTAATAACTACCTATTAATCTATAAATAATCATAACTGTCTCAAGATAATACAGTAGATCCTGAGTTTAATAACAATTCACAATCATTGCAAGAAATAGCAAAAAATGACAGATTGATATGTTCTGTAATAATTTACCATTCTTTTAGAAAAAAAAAATCATTCTTAAACTGTCCATATTCAGAAATCTAAGCATTGGCTAAGAAGAAGCAATCTTTAAAATATTTGTAATTAAAAACTTATAGCATGAAGATAATTTGTAGTCTTTAGATTATTATGACGAATTAAATCTAAAATAAAAAAAAAAAAACCAATTAATTATTTTAACTGGTAAAATGCACCAATACATATACATATTAACTGTTGTCTATGGTCCTGGAAAATATATTTTCTTAAAGTGATGAATTCCAGCATCTATCCTCATTGAATTCATTTATTTTGTATTATAACCCAATGAATGACGAACATTTACGACTTAGCTGTTTGAGCATTTACATGTAGTTAGAAAACAAAACTTGTTCGTAAGAAGAATCATAAATTTTTTACAGCTATGGTATTTGTAAGAAGAATCATAAATTTTTTACAGCTATGGTATTTGTAAGAAGAATCATAAATTTTTTACAGCTATGGTATTTGTAAGAAGAATCATAAATTTTTTACAGCTATGGAAACTCCAAAAAATCCTTGGAAGAAAAACAATTCTACACTTATCCTGTTATTGTATCATATTTTGATTTGGCTTATAATTGTTACCCAAGTAGTGGGTTGGTAAACAACCAATTACCGATTTCATGGTTCCTCAAACAAACAAGTAATCCTTTAACCATTCTACTTTGTACACACTGAAATAATTAAGTTATAATAGATCATGGTAATAACCATAGTGGGTTACCTGCATAAAGGAGGCAACATGATTGTTTTGAAAATACTCATGTGTGTACAGATTCAAAATGATGACAATAAATATCCACAAAAGTGTGTACAGATTCACAAAGATGACAATAGATATCCACAAAAGTGTGTACAGATTCACAAAGATGACAATAGATATCCACAAAAGTGTGTACAGATTCACAAAGATGACAATAGATATCCACAAAAGTGTGTACAGATTCACAAAGATGACAATAGATATCCACAAAAGTGTGTACAGATTCACAATGATGACAATAGATATCCACAAAAGTGTGTACAGCTCATTGCAACCAACTGGAAAATTTCCACTTGTAAATAGCAGATTTCCAGCACAGCAAAACAGACTAAGATAGCAATGTTTAGGGTATCCATTTCATATACTGTGGATTCATTTATTTTCGTGGGTTCCAATTTTTTCGTGGATTGAGGAAAACTTCCATTTTTTTGGATACTTGATTTCGTGGTTTTGCTTTAGTCAGCATATATTTATATGGAACAATTGTAATTCATTGAACATTTCAATTCGTGGTTTCCCTGTACCCACGAAATCCACGAAAATTAGTATCCAACGAATAATAATGAATCCACAGTATTTCACATTAAACTTGAGCTTACAGAGATATCTGATTCTCAACTGAGGCATAACCATTATAGTGGAGATCGTCCACATAGCTGTCATATCTGTTAGACAGAAAGAAAATCTACTAAGCTTATGCACTGGAATTTTTCTAGTTGGTTGCATCTTGCTAAACTTATATTAAAAGCATCTCTTATATATATATACCCTGAAAATACAAATGTTGTTGAAAAAAAAAATATATGCTGACTTCCAAGCAGGATGAACTAGGTATAAAATTGGTTCAAATGATATGAGAAAAGTACATTCTTTCCACTCAAATCAAAATTAGCACTAAAATGTCTTCTAAACATAAAAATAAAGGAATAAGGAATGTCATATTCAGGAGAAAGCAATAGAAACAATTTTAATGGCATTGGACTGATTATTGCACCACTATAAAACAACTGACAAAGACCTGATACAGAAATGGCATCATCTGATTAATTCTTCATCAGAATGTATCATATACAACAGAGCCTGTCTCTAGAGATCTCTGTTTTAACAGACCACTCGTATTTGAAATTTGAAGAAAAAAAACTCTTTTTTTTGTCACTATAAAATTCATATTGAAACTATTGTTTGGTGAGATGGCAGAAAGGGTGGTCTCTCAAAACAGAATTTACAAATATTTATACTATGCATTCTATCCTTAATTAACATACAGACGATAAAAAGTAATTCATTTGGTTTCTTTATTATGTTAAAACTAGCACCAATTGAAAAAAAAAAGTTCTCTTATTACCTCAAATAAATTTTTTGAAATTTTTTGTATCTTACTCTTTTGTAATATCTTTAAACATATTAGAGTCTAACATTACTACAGTATCATTTGAGGTATATCCTCCACTAGTCTCAAGAATATCCACATACAAAACTTCCATATAAAGTTGTAATTAAACCCATTCTCTTGGTTCTTTGAGAACTTTGATTAATTCTTCCTCTTTAGATCCTGATTCTGGTTCATGACAATACTCCCATCTCTAAAATATAGTGATGAATTGTTACTATGTAGCATGTATACACATAATTATCAATTAACATAATTAGGATAGGAGTTATTATCCTTGACCACCATGATGGAAGGCAAACTGATTGATTTTCAAAATAAAGTTGTGTGGTATAAATTTATCCTGGGACTTTAATCCCTAGTAAAATTATGGTCACAGACTTGATTACCTCGGAAAAAAAGTCCTGCAGACATATTTTACTACCAGACAGAATTTACTGTTACATAAGCATGTCAGATAAGAAATCTTAAACCAGATCCTAGGGATGAATAAATCAAGGCTTAAACATTTAAAAATTGTTCAGAAGCACAAGTTGAATCATTATATTTATTATTAAAATGTCAATCTATGAAGGCCTTTGTGCATGCTTACCTCCAACATAGCAGCAAAGGGAAATAACTCAACATCAAATAATGCCAATCAATCCATTGATTGGAAAAGAGTAAATGAAATAAAGATGATACTAAAATAACTGTGTGCAAAGGGAAATAACTCAAATTATGTCAATCTATCTGTCTTTTGGAAAATGATAATACTAACAAGATACTGAAATAACTGTGTATAAAGGGAAATCAAAATTTAAAATCTACAAGTCGGTAAATAAATGAAATATTTCAAAAGCAACACAACAGGTGAATTCACAAGAAAAGAAGAAAAATAAGAACCACTAACACTCTGGAAGAATAAACCCCTGTCAATGATCACATTTACTTAGAGTCATCAATTTTCGAAATACCAATCTTCATGGGTACAGGCGAACCACAAATTCAAATGTTCAACAAAGAATAAATTTTCTATAGGCTTGTGTGCAGACTTTAACAAAACCATGAAATCAAATATCCATAAAAATACATTTTTTCCTAAATCCACTAAAATTGGTACCCATGAAAATAGATGAATCAACAGTATAATAAATCTATTCTCAAATAAAAAAAACGTACTGCTGTAAGAGGTAGAGACATTAGAATACTCTCAATTCTAGCTCCTGGTGTCATTAGTCCAAACTTTGTACCTCTGTCATACACAAGGTTAAATTCTACATATCTACCACGCCTCAATAGCTGCCACATCCTACAAAATATAATCTAGTAGTTTTGACAAGGATTAAATTCTACATATCTACCACATCTTACACAATATATTCTCTCTAATATTCAACTCCTTGATGTTTTGAACATACATATCACCACGATAGACTAAATTCCAATCAGCCAGACTATTGACAATTAGTTAAACTGATTGAGGAACCAGATTTTGATTATTTATTTGTCTGCTAAAGTTAGCTAACTGCCTGAATTCTTAGAAACAAGAACAGGCTATCATGAACTATTTTAAATGTTTGGAGAAATATGTTAATTATCTTCCTCTCTCCACAGCAACAAATAAACAGAATCCAACTGATATATAAAAAAATATTATCTCCTCCCATTAAAATTACTTTCCTTTATATTGCTTACTGAAAATAAATGCTATTTTTTTTAATTTTTTCATCAGTTTAAATATAATTTATTGTTCAAAATAACAAATGGTTCAGTTACAAGTTTTACAACTTAGTAATACATACTCATATTTATCTCCATTTACACAACTATTGAAAATATCAGTTTACCTTTCAGCATATGAATACCCCTTGTTTTTATTTTTCTGTACAATTGGTATGTAGGATGGTATCACAGCATCAGCACATTCCTGTTAAAAAAATGAGAAAGTCAAACTTTTGCAATTAGGACAAGAAATACTGAAAATTCAGAAATTATTGCAATGGGATATGTTTTGCAAATATAACAAGTGAAACTGCGAGCTACTGCTCACTGATGATACCCCCGCCCAAATATTTCGGTAAACAGGAAGTTGTTGAGTGATGAATCTTAAAACGCATCACACTGTATAGATGACTTATATAAACCCTGAAACCGAATTTCAGAAATCCTTGTATTGTAGTTCCTCAGGAAAATGTGATGAAAATTTTCAACTTGGCTATCATGTGTAAAATGATACAAGTGTTCGGTAAACAGGAAATTGTTGAGTGATGAATATGAAAACGCATCACACAGTATAGCTGACTTATATAAACCCTGAAACCAAATTTCAGAAATCTTTGTAATGTAGTTCCTGAGAAAGATGCGACGAAAATATTCATGGTACGGACGGACGGACTGACAGACGTACTGACGAATAGATGGACTGATGGATGGACGGACTGACAGAGGTAAAACAGTATACCCCCACTTTATTATTTTTATGCAGCATTTCCTAATATTGCAATAACTAATCTTGCATTTGTGTCCACTAATCAAAAAATCGCAATAATAAATGAACACAATAATTTCTAAATTTACAGTAACTAAAATATCGTTCATTTTTGTAAAAAACATTAGAGGGGCGGAAGGACCTTTTTCTGGACATTGGGGATTGGGGTATTCAGAATTGGGCCTTCATTTTTGCGGGAATTTTGGGATATACACCTATCAGTACTCGGGAATTAATGATTAATTTTTCAGGATCTGGGAAAGAATAATTAATTTTTTCTGAAATTTGGGATAACACCCCCTCATAACATCCCTCACATAAATAGTCTTCTCATTTCTTGCTTTCTTAATCCTTTGCTTCATGTTGATGCCTTTATACAACTCTCTCTTAACTCATTATAGATAACTTTGAACATCTCTTACAAGAGGCCATTGTTTCAAGGGATAAAAAAAGACAAATAAATGTGTAATAAAATTTAAAAGTTAAATGTGTGTATGGTTCATTTATAACAGTTCTTATTACCATGAATTTGTACAATAAAGGGGAAATAACTTTGAAATGTATCAAAACTAGTTTACAAAAAAAACCTGCACCATGTCAGAAAATAAACAAACCTACATGGTGCCACATGTGAAGCAGGATCTGCTTCCCCTTCCAGAGCACCTGAGATCACTGCTGGTTTTTTGTTGCTAAGACTAGTTTCTATGTTGTATTTTGTATACTGTTGTATTCTTTTGGTCCTTTTAATGTTTTTGTCATGACATTGCCAGTTTGATATTGACTTATGAGTTTGACTGTCCCTTTGGTATCTTCCTCCTCGCTATTGATTTTTTTTTTCATTTAGATTTGTAGTTCTTTTCAACATTTAAGATTGATTGATTGTTGGTGTTTATTGCTACTTTCAGCACTCTTGGCTTTATACTGGCCACCATATTTTTTTTTGGTGGATAGAACAGAAGAATGCAGAGAGAACCACCAACCTTCAGCAGTAAAACTGGCAATCCTTGTCAATGAAGATAAAAGTCAAACACACCTTTTTTGTGTGGAGAAAGCAGATTGCAGAGAGAACCACCAACCTACAGCAGTAAAACTGGCAATCCTTGTCAATGAAGATAAAAGTCAAATGCACCTGCCATGAGCAGGGTTTGAACTCGGCAACATTTAAGAATATAAGCTACTTACTGTGGCAAATTTAAATATCTTATCTTGTTCATCATCATCTAAATCATCATAGAAGATACCACCAACTCCTCTACTTTCACCTTGTAATGAAATGATAAAGGTTATGTTCGTGTGAGTAAAAAAATTACCATTTATTTCATTCACTGAAAACAAACTACAAATGGTATAGTGCTTATTAGACCTCACTTATTATTTGACATTGTTGACAAATTTCTAAAAGTCATTTCGAATAATAAGTACTGTGGATTCATTATTATTCGTTGAATATCAATTTTCGTGTATTTCATTTATAAGACAACTAAAGTTTTACGGAAGGTATTCAACTTAAATCAGCACCAAATTTCAACTACATACATACAGACAGCAACCATGGTCTTAATAAACACTATATTATCTGTTATAGGACAATTTTAGGGAAAAATGTACACTCCAACTAATAAAACAATGAAAAGTTGACATTAACTGAAAGAAACTGAATTTGACAAGGACAGGGGAAAAGGAAGCATCCCCTTGTCACCTAATAGAGTTTTAACTGCAGCTTTTAGAGGCCTTTTTGTATCTTTATGATGATTATGTGTACAAAATTAATGATCAAGCTATTTCGTCTGTATCTAGTTCATACATAACATTCGGATATAGTAATTTTACAGTTTCTCATTTAAAGTTCACAAATGTAGAGAACATACCTCTATGTGTGACGAAGAAATATTCATCACACCACTTCTTGAACCTTGGATAGTAACTTTTGTTGTGTTTATCACATGCCGTTTTCAGTGTCTGGTGGAAATGAGCTACATCCTAAAAAATATAATACAGTTTTACTTATTACATCTACAAGAAATGTTTCCTGTGCATACTTTCCTTTCAAATTTCATTTGCATTGCTGTGGATTCATTATTTCTTGGATCCCAATTTTCGTGGATTCCGTGGGTACAGGTGAACCACAAATGTTTAACGAATTACAAATTTTCTATAAGGTTGTATGCTGAATTTGGCAAAACCACAAATCAAATATCCACAAAAATGCAAGTTTTCCTCAATCCACAAAAAATTGGTACCTATGAAAATAAATTAATCTACAGTAATCAAACTAATTGATTAGGGCTTTGTATCATGACTATAAATGGCAACATACCATTTTAAAGTATGTTAAAAAAAAAAAAAAAAAAAACTGTTTTGTGTATATGCGTGTAAAAAGGTGAAAGGAAAATAGTTTGCCAGTGATCAAATTCCTGTTAAATATTGTTCTGATATTACAGAATTTCCAAACACAAAATCATTACTGTAAATTCAGAAAGATTGCAATGTTTTTAATTGTGCAAAAAATGCCATAGTATCATGTTTGCAATAATAAAACCTTGTAACAACAAATTTTTATTCGTAAAATTTTTGCAATTGCATTAATTAGATTATGCATTTTTGCCAGTGGTCGTGTTTCACATTAATAAATGCATTCATTAATTTCTGAATTTACAGTAATCTCATGTATAAACAAGATGAACGTGGAGCGACTGCTCACAAATGATACCCTACCATAATTTTTCAGTAAACAGAAATTCGAAAAGTAATGGTTTGTGAACAAAAATCACACAGTAAAGCATGCATTCATTAAAATTTGAGGAACCTCTGATTCATAGTTCCTCAGAAAAATGTGACAAAAATTTCATACGTGACCAATATGTGTTAGACTAAAGAAGTATTGAATAAACAGGAAGTTGATCAGTAATGAATGTGTTAATGCATAAAATGCATCATACCTGCATGCTCATTCACTCTTACTTGGTTTGTGAAAACAATGTTGGTTTACAGGGTCTTAAATTCATAGTTTTCATATTAACATGTTACGACTCAATGAAAAAATTTATTTCGTTGGGTACTAAATTTTGTCATTAGAGGTACAAGGAATTCCACTAAGATGTGTACCCAATGAACAACAGTACTTTCACTGTATACTACATAAAAATAGTTTCTTGTGTCACCGGTATGAAAATCTCAATTAATTTACAATAAGTATACCTCTTTGTCTAGGTAATAAGGTGTGAGATCAGTACCTCCTCCAAACCACCATTGTACACTACCATCCTCATCTGTCACCTCAAAGTAACGATAGTTGAAATGAATTGTTGGAACATGTGGATTTTTCTGTAAAATATAAATACCTGTATAGTCTATAGATAAATCTGTTTCATAAACAGTCTACCATTTTCTACAATAGATAATAAAAGAAATCAGCAATTAGGAAACAATTTTTATTAAATGTGCACAATTCATATCCAATGGATAACGATTTATTTTTTTTCATCATTTACAAAAAAAATATACAATTAAAGGAAGAAGAATATTATCTTTATGTATTTTCAACCACTGCGGATTCATTTATTTTCGTGGGTACCAATTTTCGTGGATTAAGGAAAACTTACATGTTCGGGGTTTTGCCTAAGTCTGCATACAAGCCTATAGGAAATTTGTTATTCATTGAACATTTAATTTCGTGGTTCACCTGTACACGAAAATTGGTATCCAACGAATAATAATGAATCCACAGTACTATATTTCAAGATATTTGATATTTGAACACACAATTTTACCAGTTACTATTAATACCTTAAGTAACTGGAATATGTGCCATAGGACACCTTGCCCCACTCACACTATCAAATTTCTATGTTTAGTGAACCATGAAATCTGATCATGACCCTTATTTGGAATATATTTATAAAAGTAAACATCATTATGATCATGTGTTCTAAGTTTCAAGTTAAGGTGACCACAACTTCATGGTAAAGTAACTTAAACCTCATAAGGGACAGACAAACAGACAGACTGACACACAGGCTGGAAAATATAATGCCTACATTTAATTGTACAGGGATAAAAAAATCCTAACTCCAATCATTAAACTGTATAATGTCAACCTTATTGGAAAAAGAATAATGGCAAATGATTTAACACATGGACATGATAGACCTTATAGCTATTTGGGAATATGCGACACTTGACCCGAGAATCTGAGACACTTGAACTATTTACATCATACAACAATCACTTTTCCTTTGTGGCATCAGACATTTTCTATTCTGACGTCAAAATTTTACAGGAACCTTTGTGGGGTCCAGTTATGGCGGACAAATAGCGATAAGGTGTATTGTCCTGATATGCTTCCTAGTTACCATGAAGTTTTTTGTTGATAACTAATGTACCTTAAACAATATTTTGTTATCATTATTATCATTATCATTATCATGAACCATGAAATAAAGGGTAATCAATCCATTTGAAATACATTTTATGATCTTTAAATATTCTAAGATGAAGTGTCAGGTTGATAGCCCAGGTAATTCACATCAAACAACCTTCTGTGTTGTATCAATCAGATGAGTTAATCCCTTTTCAACTAATTTTTATAGTTTGTTCATATGTTATTCTGTTACACCACTTTCCCAGGTTAGAGGAGGGTTGGGCAGCCGCAAACATGTTTAACCCCTCCACATTCTATATGTGCCTGTCCGAAGTCAGGAGCCTGTAGCTCAGAGGTTGTTGTGGTTCATGTCTGTTATATTTTTTTTTCGTAAAATGTTTTGTTATAAATTAGGCCCTTAGTTTTCTCAATTAAATTGTTTCATTTTTTCTTCATGTCAGGGCCTTTTTAGAGCCGACTATACAGTATGGGTTTTTTTTCATTATTGAAAGCCATATGGTTATCTATAATTGTTTACATCCACTTTATTTTAACTGTGGTGGATAGTTGTCTCATTGGCAATCATACCACATCTCCTTATTTTCATTTTAACTTTAACTGAAACAAAAACTTTTCTGCAACATGTATACAAAACATAATAAATCTGTTTACTGCCCTGCTGTAGCAGTTGGATATACAATAAAAGGTCTTTATGTTAAACCTACTGGATGGACGACACAGCTTATTCCTGTAGCAAAAAATGGCAGATCTTTCCCAACAATCTTTTTACCTCTGGAAAATAATAAAATAACATAAAGTTTACAATTTCATATAACTATGGCAACATTTTATCATTGTTTTATCAAAATCAAAATAATATGATATTATTGCAACAAGCCAATTGTATAGGTCCTTGTTTGAAAGTAACAATGTGACTTAGCATACTGTGGATTCATTATTTTTGTGGGTATGATTTTTTTTGAATTGAGGAAAAAATTCTATTTTCTCTAATGCTTGATTTCCTGATTTTGCTAAAAAAATGTTTACATACAAGCCTAACTTTAACTACCTTGACTACCCATGGGGGTCTCGCACGGTCAGTAAATTTTCAATAAGAAACTTTGTAAACTGCAATTATCTATTAATATATAAAACATTTCCATTACATTAAGAGGCTATTCCCAGTACTAGAACCTTTCTGAACTACCAATTAGTGCCATTTAAATTAAGAAATTTAAATATGAAATACTCATAAAACACAAAGATTGATTGATTGTTGGTTGCTTAACGTCCAGTGAAAACACAAAGATAAGTACCTAATACACATTGGGATAGCTCAGGACAACTTAAAACAAAATGAAATAAATACCAAGACCTTTTATCTACCGACTCAAAGAAAAGCATAATTCTAGCTAATTATACCTCAAGAGAATAAAAAAAGGAATATACAGAACACAAAGCACAAAAAACCACACAAAAACCTAAAGATTGGACAACATGAACCCCAATAAAACCAAGTGATAGAAATAATACACAGTAACATTAATTTTATAGGACATTTGAGCAAAAAGTGTTTGCTCTCAAGCTACTATTCAATATGCATCAAACACAATTACCAGTTTACCAGAAGTTCAGGTATGTATATTAAAAGATTTAAATGGCATCAAATAGTCCTTTAAATTCTTTGGCAGATATTTATTAACTGAAGAAGTAAAACATTCTAGTTATCAAACTATTTTGTGTTTTTATAAATATTTCATAGTATGCTCTCTTGGGCTACTAAGGTAATTGTAACAGGACATTTGAAATAAATTGTATTTGAATTAAAAAAAAAAAAACATTTCATAGCAGAATTAAACAATCATGCCCGGACACTGGCTTGAACGGACTAGAAATTAAGATTGATTGATTAATAGTTGGTGTTAGTGTTACTTTCAACATACTGTAAATTCAGAAATTATTGCGTGCATTTATTATTGCGATTTTTGAAGAATGGACTAAAATGTGAGGTTAATTATTGCGATTTCAGGAAAATCTGCATACAGATATAAATATCAGATATCAAAATGAGAATTCTTATTATTGCGATCTTCATCCACTTGCATTATTCATAAAAATAAAAAACTAATTTCTGAATTTACAGTACTTGGCTATATTTTCAATTGTTGGAGGAAGTCAGGTACCCAGAGAGAACTACTATCTTGCAATTCCAGTCAATAAATATCTGAAATGAACTGACCTTGCCATAAGTAAGGTTAGAACTCACAACTTCAGAAGTGAAAGGCTATCGATCACTGTCGATGTACTACTTAGATAACTTGGCCACTGAGCCCCATGGAAATTAAGAAAGAAACACAAATCTTTTTTAAACATCATAGTTATTTGTAGTTTGACTTCTCAAAATGTTTTAAAATTACAGGATCAGTATCTTATAGGATGTAAAAAAATTCTGTATACACTATAGTAGCCTTTAGCTAAGTAAAATAACCTTGATCTCATTTGTTGGACAGCAGCTGGAGGCAGGTTGCCATGGACAACAGAAATATTTACACCTGCCTTCTCAAATACAGTCCCATCTTGCATAATACAGGTTATTCCTCCTCCTCCCTGAAATACAAGCACTCACACAATATAAAACTCCTCTAACTGAAGCACAAACAGAAACTTTAACAATAACAAAATTCTTTTCCTAAAATATAAACTTATACAGCACTCAAACATCATACAAAAATCTCCTCCATCCTCAAATACAAACATATACAGGACTTACACAATGTCAATCTCTGTCACCTGAAAAAAAAATCCCACTCAGACAATATCAAACTCTGCTGAAATACAAATAAACTGTTATCACAGAGATATGTCTCGCCTTTTTGTAATTTTGATAATGCAAATGTTGAAATTAAAATAGCAATACTTTAACATGTAAGTTATGCAAATATTCAAAGTCAATGAACCATGACTGAAGGTACATGGCTAAACAATCTCCATGGAATGAGATGTGCCAATGCTAATACAACTGCATACCAAATACCATTGATTTATTATAAGTCGTTCCCTTCAAACAAACCTAAACACAAACATTAACTTGTAAACTATGTAAAAGTTTCAAAGTCAATAAACCATGATCAGGGGTGGGGCTATATAATCTCCATGGAAACGATACTTGCAAATGCCAATAAATTTGCATACCAAATATCATTGACTTAACATTAGCAGTTCATCTTAAACTGATCTAATCACAAACTAATACATGTAAACTAAGCAAAAGTTTCAAAGTAAATAGACCATGACTGAGGGGGCGGGGCCACATACTCTCCATGGAAATGAGATGTGCTAATGCTTATACAACTGAACACCAATTAACATTGGCCTACCACTAATGGTTCCCCTTGAACTGACCTAATCACAAACTAATACATGTTAACTTAGCAAAATTTTCAAAGTCTATAGACCATGACTAAGGGGTGGAGCCAAATAATCTCCATGGAAATGAGATATGCCAACGCTTATACAACTGCATACTAAATATCATTGACCTACCACTAGTGGTTCCCCATAAATTGACCTAATCACAAACTAATACATGTAAACTATGAAAAGTTTCAGAGTCAATAGACCTTGACTGAAGGGGCAGGGGCAATTAATCTCCATGGTAATGAGATGTGCCAATGCTAATACAACTGCATACCAAATATCATTGACCTACCACTAGTGGTTCACCATGAACTAGATCGATCTAATCACAAACTAATACATTGTTGACGCCGCCCCCTCCGCCATTGCCGCCGGAAACAGCATACCTATGTCTCGCTTTTTGACTCCGTCAAGGCGAGACAATAACAAAATCATTTCCAACATAATATAAACATATACAGCACTCATACAAACTCAAACTCTTCTATCCTAAAATACAAATATTTAAACAGCACTTCCACAATATCAAACTCTTTCATCATAAAATGTAAACATATATAGCATTTATACAAATTCAAACATACTCATGAGGACCAAAGCTGTTCATCTACTTGTTCTTCCGTCTTCATTTGATAGCTTTCTCATTGGCAATCATCATAAAATCCTTTGTATATTTGTATAAGGCCAAACATAATTGAAGAATTTGTGTTTCATTCCTATTTTTTTGAGACAACTAATTCTGTAAATAATCAATTTTGCATGTTATTTAAAAAGTTTTTCATACATATCCTGTGGATTAAGTATTATTTGTTGGATACCAATTTTTAATTTAAATGTTCAACTAAGTACACATTTCCTTATACATGTAGCAAATATACAGACGGGAAAAACCATGATATCAAATATCCACGAAAACACAATTTTCCCTTAATCCACGAAAATTGGCATCTGCGAAAAATAAATAAATCCACAGCATTAGTCATCAAAACTATAAACTGAAAACACAAAGATGAATTATCTTTAAGACAAATCATAGAATTTAGCTCATTATTGAGTCAAATATAAAACTGTAGTCACCTCTTTTCTTGTCCATCTTTCTACTAGAAACTTCTTATCATTATCTTCTTTCTCTAACAATCTACAAAGTTCACCCTACAAGTTGAAATCAATTATCAATTAAATATACTTTAAATTCAGAAATTATTGTGAAGTTTTTATTAGTGCAAATAATACAACATCATGAGTATCGTGACAATAAGAACTCGCATTCTGATATCAAATACATACATCCATATGTAGCTTTTCCTAAAATCGCAATAGTTAAACTCACATTTTTGTTCATTCTTCAAAAATCGCAATAGTTAAACTCACATTTTTGTTCATTCTTCAAAAATCGCAATAATAAATACACGCAATAATTTTAGAATTTCCAGTAACTTTTAAAACAAAGGTAAAATAAAGGAACCACATGAATTTCAATGCACTTTACAAATATCATTGTAGTAGTTAAAGGAGACTACATCTGCTTGTAATATATATATATATTGTTGCTCTTGGTTTATGTATATGTACTGGATTTTAAATAGATTTCATTGATAACGGCTAAGATGCAAATTTCTAGCAAGAAAAGAGAAGAAACATGTAATAATTCTGCTCTGAGCTATTGCTTACTCATTATATCCAACTCAATACTATTGACTAAATGTTATGATAATTTCATATTTGTGCATTAAATTTTAAAGATATAAGTTTTCTGCAAACCAAAAGAAGAACATCGAAGAACCTGAAAAGGTGTTATACAGTATGGCCTAACTAGATGAATATTGGTACCATATATCAAGTAACTATGATTTGTAGTTGCTGAGAAAAATGATAATGAAATGTTTTATGGATAGACTGATGCATAGGCAAATGGCAGAGAAAACTTTAAAGCAAGGATATCAAAGTTTTTTGATAGATTTTTGATTTCCATGCTTTAATTACCTGAACTCTCATGATCATTTTCTCCATTTTGTATCTCATCCCATCAGGATTCTGAAAAGATTGTCAGTAATAACTGTTAATTAATTCAAGGTCACTTAGTTCAATTACTGAATAGGGGTCTTTTTCACTCCAAGGCACATTATCCACCAAAGATAAGTAAAGATATGATTTAGTACTCAAAGATACTGTCCTAAAACAAAACTCTAAAATTTCAGTCAATGTGACCTTGACATTTAACCTGCTTACCGAAAAATCAACCAAAGACTTGTTCTTAACAATGGCAGTTTTGCCCAAAGTTCAGTAAAAGATTGGCATATGATTTAAAAGTATCTAGTTTACATAAATCTCATACCATATTTCATGCATTCCAAATTTATGACGACACATTCGACCTGGGATGAGTCGAACCTCAGATAAGTCGAATAATTTGGTCTGGTTCCTTCGACCTCGACATAACGAGGTTCAATTGTATATCTTTCATCTTATAATTCTATGCATTGACAGGATTCTGATGTTCAGTAGTTGTCGTTTGTTGATGTGGTTCATAAGTGTTTCTCGTTTTTTATATAGATTAGACCATTGGTTTTCCCGTTTGAATGGTTTTACACTAGTAATTTTTGGGGCCCTTTACAGCTTGCTGTTCGGTGTGAGCCAAGGCTCCATGTTGAAGACCGTACTTTTACCTATAATGGTTTACTTTTATAAATTTTGACTTGGATGGAGAGTTGTCTCATTGGCACTCATACCACATCTTCTTATATCTATTTGACAGCAGCAATGTTGTTCAATTTAGAACCAGTCTACAACTGGCCAAGGGAAACAACTTGTGTAAACAGTGAGTGATAACAGAATCAAATCTATATTTGGCAAATAGACTATTGGCAGAACGATTTAAGTTGACATTTCTTTTATAAGTTTATGACACAGAACAGACATAAGGATGATAGACAAAAGATGATTTTGGCAATATTTTACACCAACTCATATATGAGCCAAATACAAACATAATAAAAAAGTTTTTTGCTAATGGGTGACAATAAGCAAGTGTCTCCCTAATTTTTTTTTAATTTTATATTGTCATATTGATTTTCATCCTTATTTTCCTTATTACACACTTACTTTCAGTACTGTATAATATTTACCTGTTCCAGTAATTCGATACTTGTAATGGGATCTGACATCCATGCTGACTTGATTCTTGAACTGCTGAAACTTGCTGCATTGACCTAAATATGCAAAAAGTATATCCTCTGAATTATCAGATAATTGTTACCCTATTATTATTTGTTTACTAAAAATTTTGTTCTTGTATCCAGTTTCTTATTGTTCAGTGAGAGTAAAAATAAAACATAACAAGATACATAAAAAGAAACATGCTGTCTCGAAAAAAAATTAAAATTTGACTCTGGATACCTTCTTTTGATCATTAAAAAGCTTCTGTTAAATTTTCATAAAGTTCCATGAAGGTTTGACAAAGTTATTGATGTCTAAAAAATCTTGAACCACAGACTGTCCCCATATGTTGACGATACCTACAAAAATGGAATGTAGAATTGCTATGTCTCACTTCCACAATTTTAGTTGCATGCTCATCAAAAATAAAACCAATATGCAACAATAAAACAAAAAAAATTGTATTGGAAGATTCTACATTTCATGTGTGATCAGAGGCATGACATTTTCACTTTATAAATTCCAATATTTTAATAATAACAGATTATCTCCCCTTTGACCATTTGTTATCTTTTGTCTGCATTGTTATCATTGATTGATCCATATACAGTCAAGTGAATATATTCTGTTTGTTCTTTATGTGAGGCATTTAAAATAAAAATAACAAATTGTAGATCCAATCAATTGAATACTTGAAATAGTTTAACATTTAAAAAAGAATGAAAGACTTTGATTTTAAAATTCAAAATCAATTTTCAATTTTGAAAATTATACATTGCATGAAAGGATACTGAGTGGGTTTCCTATAAATAGATACATGTAACAAGATGATAAATGGAAATAGACAAAGAATGCATATAGATAATGTTACGCAGTACATGAACTTTTTCAATATTAATAAAAAACAAATCTCCAATATATATTCTCCTGCTAAAAAATGTTTTGAAAAACAACTTTTTATGAACTTTTGATACTTATACAAATTTAAAAATTAAAAATTTGAACATTTTTATCAGCATTTTTCTAATTACTTCTTGAAACAAAATGGAAAAGGTTTAGTTCTATCACATATGTTCTTCTTAACTGTGGTGTTAACCAAGCAACAATCAATCAATCAATTTTAACCACAAGGGATATATTACCTTTAGTCTTTGCTGGTAATAAACAAACAGGGATCCAGATACTGCACCCACTGCAGCATATGTTTTCCTAGAAAATAGAGAAAGGAGGGAAAAAAATGATTTTTTTATATACATTATGTTTCATTAAATCAAATACCAAAAAAGAAAACTATTAGCTAAAAGCTCACTGTTTGTTCAATGGCACATTCTACACTCTCATACATTTGTACAATAGAATAACAATTTTTGTGGTGAGGCCTAAAAAAAAAAGAAGTTTTTTCTTACATGAACATGTATATTTTCATTGCACTTACATAATATTTCATACAAGACTGACTCATAATCTGAAATCTCAGTTGAGGATTTGGTGGATTTATCCAAATTTTTTTATCTTTTCTAAACCAACTTTCTGTAGCATTGAACTCCTGAATTAAATCCTACTATATAAATCTTGTGTAATGAATTGTTGCTGTTTTGATATTCAAAATTTTAAAATGCAAAATAAGCACCAGAAAATTTTATCACTTCTATAATTTCAAGAGCAAAAATATGAAATAATCTTGTAACATTTTTTTGAATATTCAAAATTCTGTCGACAAACTACAGCAAATTCTGAAATTATGCTGTGCTTTTATTATTGGAAGGGTTGCACAATGAACAAAAATTTACCCTACATTATTACAATTACAGGAAATTCTGCATATAAGATGATGAGGTTTAAAGACAGTGGGACCAGAGTTTTGGAGTTAACAGTGCTGCAGGAAATTGGTTTAAAAAAGACAGTTTTTAAATAATTGATTTAGTTAGTAACCCTTAGACATACCATGCTGAAGATTTTGGTACAGATCTTAAATTAGAAAACTGTCTAATACAGAACTGTATCTTCTGTATGGGTCTCATCCTACAAAATAAAACAGACAATACTTTAAACAAGGGTTTATTTAAAACTGAAAATAGAATGTCATATTTTTTTTTCTATTTCAACCATATTTTTTTACAATTTAAATTGTACTTTACCAAAAAAACCTCTGTATTATAAACTTACCTTGTAATTCATCATAGTTTTAAAGGTGTATGTGTAAGGTTTACTATTCATGTGCACGCACAGCATTAATTAACTAACCCTGTGCATACACAGCCTTAGTTGACTAACCCTGTGCATAATTATTTAAATTATTGGTAAAATACCATTATGTACCTTAGGCTAATTTATCTTCTGAAGATTTCCCTCTAACTTGACAAATAATATGCAATCTATAAAATTATAAAATTGCATATCCTTATTTTTTCCTATTTCATCAATTCAATTTTTAAATTTGAATAATTACATTGCATGTATGTTTCATTAGAATCCATAATTTTGATTGGCTGACAGCAATCGAGAGGCACATCCGTATCATATTTCATTTCCGTATGAAATACAACAGCTATGACTGCATGTGCTATCCATGACAATGTTAAAATAATGCATTGAAAACTCTTAATTTCATTGTTGTAGCATAAAAATGTAATTATTAAAATTGAATGCTTCTTTTTATAATTCTATGGGGTTGTAAAAGCGTTAACCATGTGCACATTTTTAATATTAAGCACTTCTGCCCTTCATAAAAAATGTGCTTCAGTCAACGCTTTTACACCCCAATAACCTTGATAACAGTAATACATCTTAAGTGACAAATTTCTATGTCCATGCACTCCAAAAGAGAGGCCAAAGATATCAAAGTAATATTCAAACTCATAAGTCGAAAAACAAACTGACAATGCCATGTCAATAAAATAAAAACCAAAAAAAGACAAACAACAGTACACAAAACACAATGTAGATAACTAAAGACAGAACAACATGAACCCAGCCAAAAACTAGGGGAAGATATCAAGAAGGGTAAGCAGATCCTGCTCCACATGTGGCACCAATTGTCATAATTGTGTTGCTCATTTAAGTACAAACACAGTGATACATTGTAAGTCTCAATTAGTAGCAGACCTGGGGTAATTAAAAATGTAATTGTAATTAGCTGTAATTAATTACAATTTTGAAAGTAATTCAATGTAATGTGTAATTGAGCATATTCTCAATTACATGTAATTGAAAGTAATGAATTACATTGCCTTTTTCCAAGTAATTATATGTGTCTTATAATGATTTAAACATCATAATTATGTCAGTCTAAACAAAGCGATCAGACAAAAGGCAAATTCCAATACAAGATTGATTGAATTATCCAATACTATTTAAAACATTTCTAATACATGTAATTCATAGATCATTCATTATTGTAGTGAATTTGGGAAGGCAATCCCCCTTTCTTTGAGTATGCATATATATAACTAGAACACACCCGCGACATTGTAGGTCCATGACTGAATTAAAGTACCTATGCCTTATTTTTAGCCTGGATTTTTAGTATTCATATTGTCATCTGATAAAGTCAGGCTGATTGTAAGGTGCACAGTTTTCTCTGATTTCAAAATCTTTCTGTTTGAACCCATCCTGATTTTCTTACTACAATAAACTTCCTAACAAACTAAATATAGTTTTTTAACTACTTAACCAAAATTTATATTTGTATTGAGGTGGAAGAAAACAGACTTGTTAAATAGTTTACTATAACTATAGTGTAACATCTACTGGAAGAATTCCAGGTTCTCCTGATAGAGGAGGGATTTACAGAAAGTTACAGGAAAATACAACCGGAAACTACATGTGACATATGCTATTGGTATCCGATTGGACCCAGAACTTGTTAATTATTGGTAGTATTAATTATGGGGAAAACAAAAGGGCCTGGAATGGTGTAATTTTTACATAACACCATTGTCCTATATATATTACTTATATATAAAGTTGAATTCTTTGACTCATTGTTTTTACGTCATGCCGGCTAACAAATTGTACCTCGTTATTTCAGTAGTATAATAATAATAAGTGAATCGATTAAAGACTGATTAGTATTAACATTACTCATGGACACTTAATTTCTATCATGCTTATACTTGTATGTATCACAAAATGAGTGACATACATGTATATTTCAGTGACAAAACACTTTAGGATAATTATCTCCTTAAAAAATAAGTTTGTTCAAAAGTTTCTCATATTAGTTATATAATTTAAAATGACAGTATATTTTTTTGTGGATTAACAATAGTTCCTTTTCAAACACATGTCAAGATTACAGTTTAATACTTTATTAACATGATAAAGAACAAGACTTTTCTGTAAAATAATTGTTGTGATAAGAGATTAAATTAGATCATTTCTTTAATAACAGTATTTGTTGCTTACCTTATTAATTCCTATAGAAGTTTAACAAGGGTGAACTTTAAAATTAAATCAAACTTTAAGAAGACATGATATTTTTAAACAAAAATTAAATTATTATATAATAAATACTATATATATATATATATATATATATATATATATATATATATATATATATATATATATTTGGGTTGTTATACATTTTATAATAAAGATATACATTCAACCAACAGGGGCAACACAACTGACTTTCAGTGACATATCAACCAATTGCAAATTCACTTGTTACCAAATAGAAATGCTAGATTCAAGACAAATCATGATACATGAAGCTATACCCTTCAATGAACGTTTTAACCTACTATCAGATAGTGAAAAATTCATATTTTTATTTAATAATGAGAATGTTGCTACTGTCGTTGCCAAAACATGCAACATTATTTTATTGAGCAGAAACAGTATTTTATTTCTATAGTTTTAAAAGAAACAAAATGTTTTACAAACATGTATCATAAATAAAATTTTGTAAATTTTAAATGTAACTGGTGGATCCAGGGGGAGTTTCAACCGCCTTTTTTTTACGATCAATGCTTTTGAATGGGAACATATGGTTGGAACCCCCCCCCCTTTTAAAAATGGCTTGATCCGCCCCTGAATGTGAATGTGTATAAATTTTTATATATATATATATATATACATGTATTGTGTCTTAAAAGTCTCTCAAAAACCTTTTAAGATTGGTGCATACATGTGTACATTGCAAATGTTTGTTATTCTGTGAATCTTATTATATAAAATTGAGAATGAAAAAAGGGAATGTGTCAAAGGGACAACAAACCAACCAAAGAGCAGAAAACAGGCCATATATGTTTGTATGTGGTGATAAGACTCTAATAAAATATTGAATGTGAATCTGAATCTGCATATAGTTTCAAAAAACATACAAATAATTTAATACCTGATTTAAAAGGAATCATTGAAAAAAATAGACTGAAGTGAATTTCAGCATTATATTCATACATATATATCATACATTTTTTTTTATAAACTTAACATTCTACTTGCAGTCAATGAAGCATGACCAAGATTACAAGCTTCATATTCTCTTGAGAAACTTAAGTGTAGGAAAACAAATGTCCCAAACAAATATACTGTATTTTAATTGTTTGTCATGAATATTAACCACATATAAAACACAAATTATCAGAAACTAGAGGCTCTAAATAAATAAAGAGCCTGTGTCGCTCACCTTCATCTTCAACATTGGCTACTTTTTAGTAAAAATCATCATTAAGGGGAATAACTCTATCAAGAGTTAACTGACAATTTCAGTCATGTTGGCATATTTGTAGAGCTTATCCAGCTGATAATTTTTCCTTTTTAAAGTTTCTATTTATCTATTATAGTTTTCAAGACAAAACTCAAAAAATGCCAAAAAATATTAAAAATAACCATTAAAGGGCAATAATTCCAATATTGAGTAGAATGAAGATTTCGGCAATTTGGCTTGTTTGTGGATCCTGTCTTGCTGATCGTTTGTGCTATTCAAAGTTTCTATCTATCTATTACAGTCTTCAAGATAATAGGCAAAGATGGGAAAAAAATATTAAATGTCAATAACTTCATTAAGGAAACAACTAACAATTTGGGTTCTGTTGACTTATTTGTAGATCTAGTCTTGCTTATCAGTTTTACTTTATGAAGTTTCTATCTATCTAATATATTTTTAAGATATAAGGGAAAAATGTAAAAAAATTGTAAAATCGTCATTATAGAACAATCACCCTGATAAGGAGGCAACTAAATATTTCAGCCATGTTGAACTATTTGTAGATCTTTTCTTGCTGATCATTTTTGCCTTTCAAAGTTTCTGTCTATTATAATTTTCAAGATAATAGGCAAAATTTAAAAAAAATGGTAAAATTCATCATCTAAGGGCAGTAACTCCTACAAGAAGTCGTCTGACATTTTTGACTTAAATGAACAATAGGTAGAGCTCAACATTTTGAACATTTTCTCTTTTCATAGCGGTTTTCAAAATAATAGGCAAAACTTGCATTTTACCCAAATTTTCTAATTTTAGCCATGTCAGCCATCTTGGTTGACAGGCCGGATCATCGGACACATCTTTTTAAACAGATACCCCAATGATGATTGTGGCCAAGTTTGGTTAAATTTGGCCCAGCAGTTTCAGAGGAGACAATATTTGTAAAAGGTAACAGACGACGACGGACAACGGACGCCAAGTGATGAGAAAAGCTCACATGGCCTTTCAGGCCAGGTGAGATAAAAAGTTATATATTTAAGTCACTAAATCATGAGTGAAAGGTTGGTTTTCATACACCGTATGTAATTGAAATGAATGGATGAAGATAAGATACTCATCAAAGTTCAGGAAAGATTTAAATAAACTCTACGTCAAGCCATCCCTTCAGATACACAGGTTTGTTTTTATATTCTGACACCACAAAATTTTAACGAGTTACTGGAAATAAATTTTGTGGTGTAAAAATGGACATTAATGTCAAAATGTTATGATGATACACTGACTATTATTAACAAATATTTAGTGTAATGTCATTAAATCACGTCAGTATTTTTAGTGGCCAAAGTAATCAAATTTTTTTGCGAATCCG